TAACAGCCACACCAAAAAAGATAGGCACCTTTACAATGGTTAAGGTACACACAACTGACATGTTTGTGTTTTAGCATATCGAGCGTTAAGGTGTGGTTGTCAGTTTACTTTTCAATACTTGCAAACAGCTTATTTCTATCAGCTGTGGAAACTTCTGTATCCTTGCTTTAGAAGAAGAGCATTTCCCATGAATATTAAAACATTAAAGATGTAAGCTACCATTTCATAACATCAGATTCTCACCACATTTTTTGGTTACATTTGAAAGCATAAGAAAATTTTAATCATTACAATGTAACAATGTGGGTTAATTACAGTTAAATAAAATTGACTTTTTAATTAAAATCTTACTGTAACTGTAACAATATATTAGAATGAAGTTATCCTAAACTGCAAACATAGCTGCTGTTTGTATTTTATTCCCCTGGGCTCACAATGAGTTGGCCTTGAATGAAGTTGTCTACAAGAAGCTGGACCATTTTGTATCTGGATTCCATAACATCTGAATTAGAAAAAAGATGATATATATAAATATATATATTAAAAGCTCAGACCAGGCCTATGAGAGCTATAAGGAAAAGGGCATTCATTGGATTCTCACATTGGGAAATCTCTGTTAAATTGAATGACTTTTATATTGGAGTTAGTACATCTCTCCCATAGATTTTACTAGAAAAAGGCTGAATACATTATTTTGTTTTCACCAAGGAGGGCTTCTTTATGTAATAAGATTTGTTTAATAACAGTTTGTACTATGAATCTTGAATGTTCCCAAACGTGACTAAAGTAATCTTGAAACCTTACTGATAGATTTATTTCATTGTAAATCATAAGCTTAAGAAACTGCGGCATGCAAGTGACCGATTCGATTCTCAGAATTATTCTAGTTTCAGTTGAGCCGAGTGTTATGTAAGCTTAATTCAACTCGTTACATCTATTCTTTTATACGATTTTAATCACGTAACGAATATCGCAATTTTTACTCACCACAAACTTTCAAAATCGTAGTTTTATCAACGGCCACTTGACCCTTGTTTGTACCAGTCAATATGTCAACTGTTGTCCCTTCTTTTAACTCCACGGCGCCAACGACTTTCTTTTCTTTTACAACACTCACGCTGTTCTCGTTTTCCCATTGAACCACAATAAAACCTATCTTTAGAAATGCTATTTAAGCAAAACAGTTGAGAAAAGAAATAACTAAACACACGAGCGATCAACCGATGAAAAGTACATTCAAAGATGAGCGCCAAATGGAGTCTTCTTTGTTTCCGATCACGGGCATGATCACGTGGAATTTTTAGGACTTGTCATTGGCCAGCAAAGTGAATCCGCTGGCTGCCGATTGCAGTCTTAATAGAAGCCCACAACTTTATTCTGACTTATCCGACCGGTTCTCTGCTTCAAGACGATGGATACCTTGGTGATATAAATAATGATGTGAGGTCACTTTATGTAGAAATAATCGAGAAGAGTCGATCGTACTACAAATGCACGATTTGTGGCCGAACGTTGTCGCGGAAAAAAAGGCTCGAAACCCACTTGAGCTGTGTTCATGGCAAAGGTGAGAAATAACTCAAGCCAATCACAATTTTGAAGCTGTTATTATTGCACTTTTCATTTGTATATAAAGAAGGACTTGTATTTTGCACCAAAAATAAAAAAGATGTAATATTTTTTGAGAGATCCAGTGATTGGGACATTTAAAAAATTAAGTTAAGAAAGGAAACTCGGTTTGTACTTCTCATTACTAACAAGTCTTGTTTTAAAAATATTTTCAAATCAGAGTTTCAAACAAAGTAAATTGAAGACGTCATTTAAAAGGTGTTTTTTCTCAAATGGAACATCGACTACCTCTGTCTTGTCTGCATGCCAAATGTTTGCAAAGTGTGTGAATGATCCACAAGTATTGGAACACTCACAAAAATGTTTTGTAAGAATAAAAACAGCAAAAAAATTACAGCAATCAGTCACGAAAACAGAGCAAAAAACTGAAAAAAACAGCAACAACAATCATGAAAAAAGAAAGATTAATTAGGTGTTGCATTTGTTTGTCTAAGGCATGAAACTTCTACTAAAAATAATGTCAAGACAAAGTCTCTGATATTGTTTGAGGCAACTGAGCTTGACTGTTCCAAGGTTTTCTAACAAAGACAACCAGTAATGTAGGTTAGGGAAGTAACTTATGTTCATAACTAACAAAGTTCTTTAAGTGTAGATAACAATGCAATTATTGTTACACGTGTGGAAGTTGTGTACCAAGGAACAGCTAATGAATTCTTGATGATTTTGGCACATCTGTGAACATGAGACATTTTGCATCACAATAAAAAGTATTTTATGATCATGGAATCCAAGAGTCCTTTGAGGTTAGAAAGCAAATCTGTGATATGAGTATGTTGTATTAATTGTTAATTTCCATTTAACATAATTGACTGCTGCTTCATGAGAAAATCCATATTAATGAAGAGGTTTACTAAAACTTAGTTTGAATAATAAATTTCAGGATCTTTAAGTTATAAACATATACATGTATTTATATCTCTTGGTAAATTTTGTATAGCGTACCTTTTATTGAGCCAAAGTTTTAAGCCTCTGAAATTACTCCTTTTCTTAAAACCTTCACATTCAAGGTATTGAGAATTTCTTAGAATTTATGTGGACCTCAGGGTATTTAAATTGCCTCAAATTCAATTCCCAGAAATTCCCAAGAATTCCACCCTTCTTATATTATAGGTAGTTTGTACAGCTGAGAATTCCTAGGAATTCCGAGTGTTCACAAAACTGGAGTCTTCCTTTCCCAAAAATTCCCAAGCTTCCAAGCTTTTTAATCAGAGCTTATTTGCATAGTTGGGAATTTATGAGAATTCCCAGGAATTCCCAGGAATTCCCAGGAATTCCCAGAAAGCTGGGAATTCAGTTTGCAAGGGTTATTTGCATAATTAGGTTTTTGAGAATTCCTAGGAATTCCCAGAAAACTCGGAATTCAGTTCGCAAGGGTATTACCTACGTGTCTTTGCCTCTGAATGCAGCTATAAGAGGTATTTTTTAGCAGTTATCTACATATGCAAACCGGGTACAATACACGGTCGTAAAAACAATTTTATTCTACCCCTCCTCCTTGAAGGGTGCCTTGTGTATCAAATATGTCAAGTTCAGTACCTCCAGAGTCATAATAACTGATGAAATTCCGAGAGTGTGACTCCATTACTCCAAAAGGAAATATCCAAGCAGGTTACAGAAATGGTTCACGAATTGTAAACTGATAATATGTGTTAACAAAACCTCTCTAAATTATGGTGCCGATACGAATTTATCGTTCATAATCACTTCTGAAATTCTAAGATTGTAACTCAATAAATTCAACAGAAAATATCTAAGAACGTTACAGAAACAGACTCTCAAAAACGCCTCCCGAATTCGAAAACTGTAAACAACAATTATTTACGCTAACCATATGCTTACTAGCGTGCTAATTACATGCATATGATCACAGCTCAGACGCTTCTTGCAAACTGTGATGAGTATCGATTTCACAGATTGATTCTTCAGTTTCCAGCATTAAGAAAAAATTATCATATCGCAAGCATGTTCATCATAACCCGAGCAGTAAGTGCGCCTAGAGATGTTGAGCGAAGAGAAGGTGGCTCCATGTTTTGTGAGACAATTGAAACCATTTCCTGAAGTTCGAACGAATCGAGTAGGAAGCATGAAAACATAGCGCTGGAAAGTACCATGACTAAACAATGAAATTCACTCATTCCGCAGTAGAACTAACTCCACTGAACCTGTGAGTTTGTTTGTACCACACATTTGAGGTCCATAATTTAATTCTCAGATGTTTGACGGGTTCTCACAAGACAATATTGTCAAAACCAAATTACCGCGTCAGACTTAATGTAAACATGGACGTCGCCGACTCAATCTCATTTTGTTTCAATTTTGGGAAAGGCCACTATTTCGTTCTTAAGGTAAAACAACAACTCTTCGACAAAGCGCGATTTTTTTAAATGTACTGAGTAAATCCTGCGATAATTGACTGAAGAGATAAAGAGGTAGAAACTTGCGCTCGCCGTTCGCTATCCTTTGAAAACTTGCTAGGCAAATCAATGTCCGTAAGATAACTTGTTTTTCATTAACACCAAGACTGTATAAAACATTCCAAACCACAGGACAAGAAATATTGAATAAATTGAAGAATACGAACACTTTGAAATGTTATTCGAGCGATGAACCGGCGCGAGGGTTTTTAGGCGATGAATGCCAAAGTCATTGTTTTACCGAAACGTGATTTTAGTTATAAATTGAATTTTTCTAAACCTTGGCGTTAGAGAAAAACCAGGTAAGACGCGTTTTATCTACTCTTCCTACTGGGATCCTTTGTTGTTCGCTTTTCTTTGTTAATGTCATCGTCTCAGTCTGTTTTTAGGTGCGTCTTTGTATTTCCTTCTCGCGTTGCTCTTCGTTAGATATTCGCCTTTTTACCTGTTTTTTCTTGTTCTCTTTCGCATTCATCTCGCCGTATTCTACCTATTTTGTCCTCTCTAACTTTCTTGCGCGTTTTTCTCGACTCGCCTTACGCCTTTTACTTCTTGTTTTGTTTTTTTTTCCTTTTTTGACGCTCTGTCTGACTCAAAACCCTCTTTCCACGAACTTGAACGATGCAATCTCCTCCCGTTGACAAAGCTTTAGATCTGCCGGTATTGTTGCTTTGCGAGTTGATTGGATATTGCAAAATACAACCTCACCGGTTTGATTTCCCGCTCAAAACGCGGGTTGCAAATTATTTGCTGACGCTGCTTCACATCTATTAGCCCACGTGATGCCCTCGTGCAATGCCTAACCATGTGCGCGTGGTACGCTACACTAAAGCTCGACACTCGAGTATGCGCACTTCATGGTCATCTGCCGGAGTATCCTGACGCACACTAATTGGGTATCCAAGTTACGCACGCAATCGCACCTCCGCATTACTTTCACCCTCGCCCGTCCATTACGCAATGGCTAAGGTAGTGCTCGTGGTACAGTTGGCCGCACATGCTAAAAGTAACACGTTTTACGGCGGCTCGTACGGTCATACGTCCAAATTATTTCGGCTTGATGGGTTACTAGCTCTGCTATAAATCTACACTTTTTTACTGAATCCTTAAACCCTCCTCTCAACCGGCCAGCTGTGTAGCTTGCAGTAATTCAAGAAAGAAGTTTAAGGTAAAAGAAGCCACATCCGAGGTGCAGAATAAAGGGATCATATTCCTTTGATGACGTTATGTCTCCACCAGAGTAGCTATTCTCCACCCATCTCTGACAAATATGCATAAACGGCTACCTTAAAAAAAAACCAGGAGCTTTTCCAAATTTTTCTCAGAGAAATCGAGAAAAAATGAGCACCCACTGTATAGAATTAACGAACATCGATCTTCAATTGGTAACTATATTTTATTCTTCCTTAATTTGTACAGCTGCCTAGATCTTTTGCTATCTCGAATAATCTGGCTGATGAGCACATCAATAAGAAATAACTCCACCAACCATGTGGCTACAAGAAATAGATTGAATGCTGTAATAGAGAGGCTGAAGAAACTTCAAGCGGAACAGGAGTCATCGAAGGAGGAAATGACGCGACATTTGGAAAGGAGGACTTTTCAGGCCATCGACACCTTAATCGACCACTTACAGACTCGCCAAGTGGTAGAGATGTTTTGCAAGTGGAACTCTGACGAACTTCCAGCTGTTGAGAAGTCATGGGAAGTTACTGAGGCTGCCCTTGTTAAGCTTCTTCAAGGAAGACTACAGATATTGATTGAAGAATGGGAGGAAGAGCAGCAAAGCTTTGCAGAGGCACGCAAGTCAGTGATAAAAGAATTCCTCGAAAAATACAATTATCTGGAGAAAGAGCTTCGCAACGTGGAAGTCAATGTTTCACAAATGCAAGTGGATGTTGAAGAAAAAACGGCAAGCGAAAGTGCAGAGGATCAAGATTTCAGCAGCATTCACGACTCTTCGCTTTCACTTGAAGAAAAAATTGTTTATGGAATGATGTTTCCTTTCATGTTTCCAGTTGCTCTTGTTGGAGCTGCATTGGCTGTTCCAGTAGCACTGCTTGTTTTTCTTCCATTTGTGGGGGTTCAATCTATTTCCAACACCATCAAAGAAGAAAAAAAGAGGCGGGCATACAAGAAAGATCGCGCTGAGTACGTACGAATCATGTCACAAAAGTTTCTAGAGGAAGCTGCAACCTATGAGGTGTTAGAGCCATTGGTCGAAGGGCAATTGGAACTAGCTGTAAACACCCTGAATGACCTGCAAGCCCGAATCCCCATGCTTGTTGAAGCCGATGTAAAACTTTGTCAGCAACTTATAGAGGAGGCACAAAGCAAGAAGGATACTGAAGCTCGCTACAAGCCCTGTAGAGACAAATGCAAGCGTTTGCGCGGTGAGCTCGCGCTGTTTGGTTCTCTGGAAATTCGGAGCATTCGGCTCGCCTGGAATGACCTCTCTTGGGATGTCAGCGAGGATGTCTTCTTGAAGCGACCAATGGAACCTGGGCTCTACCAAGGGCGCATTTCCAAGGGAAGGTACTCATCAAGTGGCCAAGTAACCTGTAAAGTGTACAGGGAACCGCTGAACAGCTGCAATATTACTGAGTGCTTGGCAGACGAAGCAATTTTGAGGTACAACTTAACTAATTAACAAATAATTTTCTATCAAACGCACAACCAACAAAAGAAACTTGTTTGTTTCAGGATGTACATGTAGAACACGCGTTATGCTTGTAATGCTTATGTATTCTTCCCAAAATACCCAAGTCACTTCAGTAGCTGGCTTGAGATATTTTTCCTGAAACATGACATCCGTATTGGCATTCCTCCTTAGACGTACAGTTCTGTTCGATTTGCCCTGGAATTATTTTTTACCTGTTCAGTGCCCTACTAATCGAGCTAACACGCCAACTGAGAGCTGGTCATTGTGATGATTCGTAATAAACCGCCACCGAAGAGGTCATGGGTTCAAATCCCTTACAGGCCTGAATTTTTCAGGCCCTATTCACACTACTGCTCAACTACGGTTCATTTATATGAAGATCGCTTTCATATTTATATATCAATTATTTTTCCCACTTTCACTGGTCATTTTGTTGTCACTCCTTCCAGGTCCAAAGTTGAAAGTTGTTCACATATTTCACGTTTTTGATGTTTACTCCACAGGAGGCTTTGCCATCCTCACATTGCCACATTTTACGGGGCTGTTTTCAGAAAGGTTCCAGGAGGTTTAGAAGCAGCCTTTGTAACTGAGTTTCCAGGAGTTGATTTAAAGAAATATCTAATCGATCAGCCCGGAAATTGTCCTGCGAAGAATCCTATGGCTACGATGCGTGTGATTCGCTGGGCAGCCCAAGTCGTCGAAGCACTTCTGTCGATTAACAGCATGTTTGACGGATGTGTTCACGGGGACCTTCGATTAAAAAACGTTTTGGTGAGGAAATATTTTATTTGTAAACGTTTTTTTTTTAATTGGTTTTACGCTCATAGAAAAAAATATTGAGTTTAGAGCGCGGACACAAATATAGCTCTCATAAGACTTCCCAGGTCTATAACTCGCAGAAAAAAAAAAGTTGGATTATTTCTCTTTCCCGTGGACATGGAGCTTTTCTCGTTCAAAGACTTTTGCGTCACTTTCAAACATAGGCTAATGGGCTGTCTTTCAGTACATTTCAATCTCGAATTAATCAGGCCAAATAGCTTGCAATTAGACCCTTACACTTTGAAAAGCTTAATTAATTCGATCTGTGAAGTGATCACTTCACGTGCACCTCCGCCACTCTTATCTATTGCATAACTTGCACTTATTGCAAGTTATACATTGGTGAAACAGGACGACGCCTAGGTGACCGATTCCTAGATCGCCTTCGCGAAGCAGAAAGAATGACAAGGGCGCATCCAAACCAGTCCCTAGACACTTAATCTCCCGTATCATTCTAAGCAGCATATGGCAATTTGCTGCCTTTCCCTACATCTAGGCAGTTCGGAAAGCCGCAAGACTCTAGAACAAAAGTTTATCTCTCAAACCGGCACCCTTATTCCCCACGGTATCAACGGGCAGTTTTCCGTTAACTAATGAAGTCAGCTTTTAAACTCCTTACGATGGCCAATTTACGTTATCAACTCAGTTGCCAGTACCAAACTACCCCGTTATACTCTCCCACCGGCGCAGCGCCACAGCTCTGCCGTAACTTACCCCCTTTATTCAATTATAGTATAGTTATGAAGCAATATGTAAATCTATCTCAGAACATCGACAAGCAGATGAAGATATGACTGCGTTGTCCATAAGTAAGTGTGTTTGAACCAAAATTGTGACCCTTGCCTTGCCAGAAACTGGAATCATGCTCAGTTATATTCCATTTCTTTTGGTGAGATCTAGTGTATTCTATCAAAATGCTAGTCCACCAAGACAAAACAAATGTTTATCGAGTTTCTTTCAATCATCAATTTTTTGTTTTTACATAGCTTGACAGTTCCAATCTCTGTGATGTTAAGCTGAGCAACATCTCTCTCAGGAGGCAGCTGACATTCGAGCATGGATCAAACTGTGATCCATTTCTTCATCTTCCGCCAGAAGCTGTGCGAAATAGGAACTACAATGCCTCTTCAGAGATTTACTCCCTCGGGATCTTGTTCTGGGAAATGTGGTACGGCAAAGATGCCTTTGACGATCTCAAAGGTCAAAAGATGGAGGTTTTTTTATCAAGCGTAGAAGGAGGCCATCGTCCCGATCTAACAGGTATCACAACTCAAACATCAGTTATGTGGATTGGCCTCATTTCGGGCTGCTGGAAAAAGACGGCCTCAGAACGAAGTAGCCTCGCAGATTGTAAGTCAACTATCGGGGAAATTTTAGCTAGTCAAAAATAGAGTCTATCCTGGAAAATAGTAATATGATGCTTCAACTTTATGTAAAATGGAAAACCAGACTTTAAGTTGAAGAGGTCAGGAGATTGAAGTTTTTTGATCGAGCGTAGAAAGAGGCCATCGTCCCGATCTAACAGGTCTCACAACTAAAACATTAGCCATGTGGAATGGCCTCATTTGTGGTTGCTAGAAAAAGACAGCTTCAGAACGAAGAAGACTCGCAGATTGTAAGTCAACTATCGGGGAAATTTAAGCTGGTCAAAAATAGAGCCTATCCTAGAAAATAGTAATATGATGCTTCAACTTTATGTAAAATGGAAAAACAGACTTTAAGTTGAAGAGGGCATTGAAAGCAACTCGGAGCACTAAGGCTGGACTAGCCTCAAACTCTGAAGTTAACTACACTGTGAAAGTTACAGTCCTATCCTTTGTATCAAATCACAGACATTATTTCTAAGCTAAAACAGTCTCTAAATTTTCGGTTTGTTGCCTTCCATTTTTCCCTTTTTTCTTTTCATTTGTGCTTTAAACCAGCTTTAATTGCTTCTGTAATCGGAACTTTTTTTAACACCATGTTGGGCAAGTCCCTACAATTAGTAGATACTTGATAGCGTTTTTCCTAACTTGTCAGATCCATTAACCTTACCAATACCTATTTTTCACGTTTCTGATTCAATGGATGTCAGGAGTGGAAACTGTGGCACGGAAAGTTTCCTATAATGCTATACTGAGGTCATCCACATTTCTTTTTATCACTATTCCTTAAAACTGAGTTTTTTTATGTGTGCTTTTGATAGCTTTGATCAGCTAGTCTTTCCTCAGCGAATACGAATTTCAATAAGACTTCAGGAACTTTCTATCTTATACATGGGATGCTAAGTAAATGTGTGTTTTATAACTTTTCCCTGTCATCACCTTGTGGTAAAAGGGTGTTACATGCTTATATTTCTTTATTTCGCTAAAGGACGATTTTCTGTTTCAATAACGCACACCAGTATCCGAAGGAACTTCATTGCAATCACTATTGGTAGGGATATAGACTCTAAGGACTTATCAAATTTCATTTCATTTCTATACGAGGTAGTTTATCTTTCCCACCACATTTCGGCGAAGTATTTTTTCATCCTTATTATCTGCTCTCAGTAATTACTTTATTCCAATAAAAATGTCCAATCTGCAAGTTTGAAAAATTTAGTTTCGAATCTTTTATGATGATCATGTGGTGAAAATAAGCGACACCAATTGCAATTTTATCTTTGCTTATCACACTTTGTAGTGCTCGCTTTGAGAAAAGATGATATAAAATTAACTCTTGAGCTATAATGTGTGGACCAGAAACATATTTCTTATGTAGCACGGAACAGTTATAAAAAATTCTGAAGGCGTCTGATGTCCAAAGCCTAAGCTAAGTTAACTTTATTTAGTAGGATAGTGATAAAAAGGTGCAACGCTGTAGAAAAAAGCAAAAATTGGGAAGGAGAAGGTTGTGGCTTACTGAAATCCTTATTAACTGCAGGGGTAGCGCAACACGAAATGACAATACTTCAAACTCCACTTAGTATATTTAAACTGATTTAGTGAAATATCAAGGTTCAAAGCTCTAGATCACTCGGTAGCGTTTGATGTGAAAGGTAACGAAGACAGCGAAGATCGAAGATCGAAGATCGTTAGTTCTCGTGTCATATAATAGGTACAAATAACAGTATAGCACTAAGTAAAAAAAGTAACTAAATGGGCATAAAAGGATAACACTTTGAAAAGAAACAAGCACAATCTGTAAATAAGACCGTTTCGCTATAATACTGAAATAAGAACACTTAGCTGACTAAACAAGACGTTCTATGACCGAGAAAAGGTTGATGATTCTGTGAATTAATTAACAACAAAGAAAAGACTTCCTTTAGTTGAAGACTCGCACCGAAGAAAAAAAAACCAAAACATTTGAGATAGGGCTAGCTTGGATCCTTCTGATCGTAGCAAAGGTAGCGGTGTCGCTTCAACTAATGTCTCTTATCTTACTAACGGTTTGCGTCGCACTTACATAGGCTATGATACGTGAAGAAAGCTAAGGCGTTACAAAAAGTAGCGCCTATGATAAGAACTACTTCCTGGGCGGCAAAGATTTCAAAGTTATGATATTCTTCCAGGAAATCTCCATTTCTACCGATGTCTTCATTTTAGATCACTTAATTGACTACATAGTAACTGAATATAAATCAAAGGAAAGTTTGTAGGGTATAAGTATTAGTATTAGTATTACTCCAAACTTTACAATGTTCGTGTTTCTGAGGGTTAACTTTTTCAGCGATGAACTTAAAAATAAAACCTATTTTTGCAGATTGTCATAAGCAACACGGGTTTTTGGGTTTTTTTTTGCAAACTCAGTCTTTTTATCTGTTTGTTTCTATTTGGATAAATACCTCAGCGGTATTCTATTGGTCAGCACACCCTTGACCGCAGTCACGTGATTGTGCTTATATATCATTTTATGTAATTAAGTTAATCGTATCCTAATAAAGCAATTGTATAGGGCAGATGGTCTGATTCAAGCATTACTCTATAGTGGCACATTAAACCCTAGTGTACAACACACTTGCTGAGTGTTGTCGCTTAACAATTTCCAGCCACAGGAAACGTATGTAGCCAAGAGGCTGACTTGCGCCAGGGAAGAACACTGTAAATCATACGAAAACGTACAGTGTAAAGAACCCTCGGTTGCCGGTTTTATGCGAAAAGCCAACCACAACATAAATAACCAAAACTTACTCTCCCCGCACGTGAACTTGAGACACAATGCTCTTAGCAGCCCCCCTCCCCTCCCCCCCGTTAAATAGATCAGTCCTCTAGGGAAAGCTAGAGGGTAGGTGTTCGCAATGTAAATTGAAAAGGTTCCCCCGAACCCGATGCTTTTAACTTTCAAGAGTCTGTCCACGAGAGGACCGCCAGGCGTGACACATGCCATCTCACCAATTTAAGGTCCCCGATTTCTTCCCTTACAGTTTATAAGGGTCACTAATTTATTCAAGAATCCAGTTTGAGTCGAGCTTCCGGCTTATCCCTGGGGTATTAGAGCCTCCACATCAAATCCCTGGGGTAAGAGGCTAAAAATAGCTCGAAACAAGAGAATGCCAAGGATTTTACTCTTATTTTGTCTAATTCTTGTTTGAACCTAAAGGAAACAATTCCCCAAAGTTGGGGTAATTTGTTATAACTTCTGCCAATTTAGAACAGTTAATCATTAACTGCGTCACACAACTATTCTAAAAAAGAAAATTTACAGAAATGAAATGGTTCCCTTTAAAGGAGACTGACGCCTAAAATTGACTTAATGTTTTTTCGACAGCCAAAGAGACGAAATTCTTCATTTCAGCCGTTATTTCTACTAAATGTTTAGAAATATTTCTTTAAAGTTTGTATTTTCGCACTGTTTCGGCTTTCAAACCATGGGCATCAATTTTAAATCAGCGGTCTTCCAAAAAAGTGTTATGGGGAACACTTGAGACCGTGTTCTCGTATCGTTTGGCTAAATTGTAACGCAAATTGCCTCTTCGTCGATCCTTTGTAACGAGCGGAATAGAACCGTTCCAGTTCGAACTGACATATCATTCTGGCGGAGAACCTTCTCAGGAAGAAAATGAATCACATATGGTCGGACAATTTATCATATTCTGCACAAATATCTGTGATGTCTGAACTGAAAAAGTGTTACTGTGACTACAAACCTCTCCAATCTTTCGCGACGAGGTCCCTCCCAGCTCCTTCAAATGTTCACGAAATTTGTTCTTCATCTCATCTAGTGAATCTAAACCTTTTATTGAAAGACCGAAATATTTAATTAATTCGAAAGCTTCTGTTATATTGTCTATGGTATCCACTTTCTCCAGCCCCGTAGACATCATGCGCTTTTGACAAAGCTCTCGAGAAGTCACATCAACAGTAGTGTATTTTTTCAAATGGCGTCAGATAATACCCAATACAAGTTTACTTCTTTCAAAACTCGTAATGTTGCATTAAACAAATGCTAGTTATCCATTTAGTAGCCTATAGAGATGCTTGACAGGTTTTTCAAAGTCGCTGTGCCCCTAACAAATCCTTTTCACGGCCACAAAACTCGAAAGGTAAAAACATGATCAGATTTCACCTGTACAGGATCGCTTGATCTGTTAACAGACCATAGGACTCTTCTCAGACGGTTGGCGCTTTGAAATATGGAGGGTAACTTCAATGGTTCATCCTTCTTAAGCTTCTTATAAAATGTTTAAAAAGTGTCTGTACGATCCATTTATGAAATAATTACAATGGGCATCAAGTCAGTCTGAAAAGAGCATTATCACATACCGTGTCGTGGTCGTTCAAAAACTAAAAGAAAGAATGCGATCGAAGCAAAAAGTCTCACCCCTTTGTTTTCCTTGCCTTTTGCGGCGTGTTAAAACTAAAACAAAATAACGCGATCGACGAAAAGGGTCTCACCTCTTTGTTTTCCTTGCCTTTTGCGGCGTGTACCGAAATAGTTTATATGATATATAACCGGCTAAATAAGTTCTCCTCCCTGGCAATTTATAGCTTGATTACTTGGCGAACTTCAGTCCTTTTAGGAGCGCTAAGACTTCTGCTCGGCTTCCATAATAAATATTCTAAAAAGTGGTGTTTGTGCTTGCATGACTAGAGTTTTCAGCATGGGCTGAACGTGAATAATGAAATTCGCAGTGATCAACTTTCGCGATCATCTTTTACCTCGCAATGCTTCTCTGATCTTCTCTACCTCGTTTATTCGCAGTGATATAAATCATTTTGATCATCTTTTTTTGTTTCTTGCGAAGACAAAATGCGGAAACCCTCCGCCTATTATACAAAGATGCGTCCTTTCCGGTACTGGAGGATTTTTTTTCGATCGGGGAGTCAATTTCGTATTTGCATTTTATGTTCGGCGATGTTGAAGTTCTAAAGATTTTTGGTGATGCAAGCCGACGTTGAGACCAAAGTTTTCAGATATCTGCTTCGATACGCACATATCCGTTTCTTTTGAATTTGTGAGGGAGGGGGGAGGTAGGTTTTTTTGAGGTTCTGGATACTTTAATAAGAGTGACATTTTCTTCCCGGTGTGATCCTTTGAAAAGGTACCTAAATTTTATCAGCTAACAATGCAGTGCGTAAATTCACTGCTAAACTAAAATAATAATAATAATAATAATAATAATATGTTGAAAGGAACTATTCATTCAAGTATTAGCAAGGCGATTTTATAGAGATGTGTGTTTTAGACTTTGTGCAATTTTCTATGCTTGATGTTTAATTTCCACTGTTGCAGAAGCGAAATAAGTGGGCCTGCTCACGCAATACAATAAATTCTTATATTCGTGGGGCTATGACAGTGAATGCTGAGGAAATGATTGATCTGCGCGACATTGCACATCGTAAATCTATCCACTCGGGGTTAGACTGTATTACAGACGGACCAATTGGTGGCGGATCCAGAAATTTCAGATAAAGAAGAGACGAGAAATGTAAGCAGAGCGCAAGCGACTCTCCACTACCTACCCCCTCCACCAAACCAAATGAACAAATTCCGCTCGAAAGGTAAATTTTGTCGAAAATACAATTCCCAACGATATTCTCCCAGGGCGACTCTTGCTTGGTTAACAGGTGTGGTTATTATATTAAGGTAAATGGTCAGGTGTTGCCAGACGGGCCGTTTCCATAGAAACGGGCATAAGCAGTGTATTTTTTCCTTCTTAAGGCTCGAACGCCATAATAACCTTTTACTAACCGAGCAGGAGGACCCAACTGGGTATTATCATATGACCCGTACGGACCCGCGCGTTAATTCATGAGAAAACGTAAACATTCGTTTTAGGGCCGTATGTGGCGAAGTGATAGGGCCGGAAAAAAGCGTCGTAAAACTGGAAACGCGTACGCCCCGCAAAATCAATGCGATGTAAAATTTCTGACGTGAAAAATTTAGATTCTTAAAGCGTCTTATCATGTCCTCGCTAGCTTTGAAACAGGAAAAACCAAATATTTTTTGAATTTTTCTCTTCACCATAGTTTTTAATATTATCTCTTCCCCTTGTTAGTCTTATATCGAGCATGATCTGCACTTCCCCCTCCCCCCTCCCCCTACCAGAAAAATCTATATCGAGCTCGGTTGATTGTGTATTAATGACGATCTAGACTGACCTTAAAATGTGTTATTTCGTTGTCTTTTATATCGAGACGTTTTGATTTCAATTTTTTCTTTTCAGACATTTGAAGTGATCTCCGAAGCTGGTAAGGCCGATGAACACAAACGGAGTGAGCTTCAACGTATTTACATTAAAGCAAGAGAAATTATAAACCAGCTCGATGATGAATTAATAAATCCCCTTGAAACAAGCTTGGGAGATACCAAAATGGCTCTAGAAGAAAACATCAGAAGTCTTGCGCCAAGAGATCAATATGTAGTTCTTGTTGCAGCTAGGAATTTAAAAGACTGAGGGATTTAAAGACTGGAACTTTTCATGGATACATTTTTGAACACGCCGCATTGCTCTCAGCTACCTCCATTACCCTTCTGTGTAAGGAGATTATGACAATATTTCAGAAATCTTGAGTTTTTCCAGTAGTGCCGCTTTATGTATCATTTACTTGTTTAGGAGTATCTCTTCAGAATTTCAAGTCTTTTATCTAAAACATGTCACGCGCTTGGAATTTTTCATCTTCAGGTGAGACTAGTGCTGGCAAGAGTAGTCTTATCAACCTAATACTTGGCGAAGAGATTTTACCAAGTGGCACTCTAAGTACAAAAAACTCCGGATCCATGGTTGTCATTCATTTCAAAGATTCTCGTGAACCTTTGCATTACAAGTTAGTTGGTTCGAAAGAGTCCTTCCTGGGGTAGTTAACTAATCTTGTGACTGAAGAGAATGACCGTGGGAGAGTATCTACTTTCAGGAAGATCGAGCTGTTTTGGCCGCATCCGCTGTTCCAGGTTTGTCAATTTTTGAGTACGCCTTAAATTTGGAAATCTTCTTTCCTTCTTTCTGGATGTGAAATTAATATGACGGCTCCGTCTTTTTCATTTACATGGCAGTGTTGGAGTAAAGGTGACGGTGTTAATTCCAATTCTTGGTTAAATCTACTACATTATTCTAATTGCAAAATTACCTTCCAATAACTTTGTTTTTCAAACAAGTAACTTTTCAAATCATACTTGGCAAAAATCAGGCGCTTTTCCGTCTCTAGACCGAAGCAAGAGAAACCAATTGAGAAGATTGACACCGCAGCTTTTGGTTCCAACGCAGGATATTTCCAATGCGGAAAAAAAATAATGATTTATATGTTATTCACCAGCCGGGACTCCGTTTTGGGAAACGGATTGTGCCCGAGGTCTTGAATACCACCTGACGCCGTAGTACTCAAGACAGAGGGCACAGTTTTTTTCCAATGCGGACCGACCTAGAGTGGTGAATAACGTTTTCATGTTTTTTTCTTAAACTTAATGAAATTCTTTTGAAAAGAATCCGAGTCATTAAGGGCTGCAGTTACTGCACCGTCGTCCACGTCTGTTTTTTTGCTGAAGTGGTGTGTCTATTCCATCAAAAAAACTCTGGTCAAATGAACACTCTTTTTCGCTAGAAACAAAAGTATTTAATATGGCTTTTACTCATTGAATTCCTTCGATTTCCGTAGTGGAACTTACGGTAGAAAAGACCAAACTCAAGGGATTTTCAAAGATTTAGCGAAAGCGTATTTTTACTCAGTGTTTTACAACGAACATAGTTTTCTTTATCATAAAGTATGTTTTCCTCTTCGGGATGAACAAATTTGCTTTTGCTTTGATAACTTGCGTTGTCTGAATCCAAAACTGTGAGTCACTTGTTACAATATTTACATCTTTTAGCCACCCGTGAAAAGATTGAATAGTGCAAATTATAAAACTCGGAGCGGTCTGTACCCCGGGTCCGGATGAGGATATCCGGACCGCTAGAGGGCGCAGAATTAGCCAATCAAAAAAATTACTTACGCTATTTTTTACCACCCAGATGGCTCCCAAAATAAGGACATTTCACGCACCATCCTCGTTACTATACATCTTACTTCACTTTCGAACTAATGCTAATTGATGCATGGAAATGGTTAATCTAGGACTGATTTTAAATTATTAAGACGGCTTTACCTGTATCAATTAGGAGCGTGTCATCATTGTTGATAGCCCTGGAGTGGGAGATAGTGATGCCATGAATGAAGCTGTCCTTAATTACCTTCCAAATGCCTTCTGCTTTATTTATGTCATCAACAGCAACAATGCTGGGGGAGTCCAGGAAGACAGAGTAGGTGGCTATTTCAAAGATCATTTAATGCCGCTCTTTTATCTTCCCTGGTCACTGTAACCAGATTATTAGTATCAGCTCCAGTTCCAGTGACATATGCAAAGAAAACAATGATATATAACAGTTTTCCAATGAAACAGTTTAAGGACTGAGACTAGGGTCCAGTCATTTTCCAAGGGAAGAGGAGGATTGGAGAATTTTGGGGACATTGAATGGTTTTCAGGGGGAACGGAAGGGGAATCAGTCGTCGCCATCAGAAAAGCGGGACTAATAAAAATTGCGACCAATGATAGTGGGTCATGAGACTACTATAGACCACAAGGGGGAATCAGGTTTATTTTATATTTCATCGTGACAAAAATAAAATCCCTCTCTTTGTATCACGGTGGGGTATGAGTTTGTATGCACGTCCGAGGGTTGATAAAATCAGTTAAGGAACAAATTTTCTCCCTTCGAATTATCTTCAAACTTAAGTCAATAGATTACATCATAAGTCCCTACAATGTTGATTAAAATTACACGAAGACTAACTTTCATTTCTCCTTCTTAATCAGTCCAGATTATATTCTATACCGTAAAAGGCATTCGCTTGTCCACTTTTCTCCATATGAATAGCTGGGAATGTTACTATCCAGTGCTGCGAGCCTCAAGAGAGAAGCGAAAATGGATTTAAAGCTGTTTGTTGGTTTTGCCTTGTTCGTTTGCAACAAATGGGACGAGACTAAACCCGCTGAAGAAGAGGAGGTAAAATTGGAACAAATCAAAAGGCTCACCAAAAAGCTGGGCAGCCTCGACCCGCACTTACAAATTGTTTACCTGTCGTGCAAAGGTGCTCAAGTGGCACAGGAATACGGTGTCATAAGAAGCGACTTCGATGACCTGATCAGAGGGATAAGCAGTCTATTGGTGTCTTCCATGCAGAATAACTTGGACATCTACACCAGGTAAATAGAGAAGGCCTCATTGGAATCGAGGAAATGCTGTAAAGGGGAAAGTTTTGGAACAGTAGATCATAGCTCCCAAAAATAAATCATTTGAGAGTATTTCAATCCCATAACCTTAGTCATGATAAGATCAACTATGTTGCCCATGATCACAGCCTCGACATATATTACGTCGATTTGAAAGATAAATTTTTGCTCTACGGTTTTGCAGCTTTCCGATCTGTCTATTAGGTAGATGTAGGGAAAGGACTTCCACAATCCATAATAATTCTAAGTAGTATATGGCAGCCTTTCACTACATCAAGGAAGTTCAAAAGCCGTAAAACTCCAGAACAAAAACACATCTTTCAAATCAGCACACCTAATCCCCTCGGTATTTACCAACGTTTTTCATGCAACTAAGTTCCCACCAGTAGCGCAGCTAATCCTACTCTATATAAACCACACACAACCGACGATTCCCCGTTTTTCTCTGACGAAGGGCAAAGGTTGAAAGCTATCTATGGTGGCCGGTAAAATCGTTAGTTCAGTTAATACGAACACATGTAGTGCTATTCAAATTTGGTTTGGTTCAACCCATGGTTAAAAGGTACCAGTTCAGCTTCCTTGTAATGCACGCTGCAATTAATAGGCGCGTCGTGTAAAATTTTCTTAAAAGAATTCTTGAAGGCAACTCATATACTCGGATGGAAAGAAATCATACAGGCCTCTTATTGCTCACAGCAAATTGGAAAGGATCGTTACTTTTCGTTGAATATTTAATTTTTTCTTTTGACAAGTTCTTTTTTCGGATTACAGATGGCTTGATGATCTCCTATCTCGTTTGTCTCGTCAAATTACGCTATTAATCAGATCAACAACGTTGTCACGGATGGAAAAAGATAAGAAAATGACGGAGATCAAGAAACGAATGGAAGAATTACAAAGATCGCAAAATGAAACCATAGAAGAACTTGGTAAATACCAAACGCAGTTAATCTAGGAGATTACGGGAAAGTTGGCTTTTCAATTTAAAGCGACGGGCACATCAACCCGATTTTGCAAATGGCCTCCTTCCGAGGTCCCAGTTCCAGAAGCAATATGGGAAGCGACTGAAGATAAAATCTTAAGAAGCATCTCAAAACGGAGTCATCAGTTCGTACAAGAGTGGGAGGATGACGAGCACGAGTGCGCTAAAGCCCAGGACAAAATAATAAAAGATCTTTGTGAGAAGTATAGCATCATGGAGGGAGAGATCCGCAAAGTCGAAGGGAGTATTCAAGGTGCGCGGGACCTATGCTTTACCAATGGCGTAGTCTTTGCTGCAGAGAGAGGCTCATCAGCAATCCGTTTCACTGAATTGAAAGGCGAAGTACTTTTCAAACCCGGACGTCTAAAATCGCGAGCTGATTTGCTTTCGCAGCTCGGTCGTTTCAGATTGTCACTTGAGGGTACAGGTCCAGTTCTACAGAAGCGGTTGACGACACATCTGAGATCTTTAGCTGCACAAGTCGAGAATAAACAAATTGTCCAGATTAACCCCACCTTTAAGTAAACCAACTTCCATCTGTGCGGCAAGTAAGGATATCCTCTTGTGTGCCGATGATGAGCAGAGAAGCATAATGCAGCTGGAGTTAGAGCACAATGGAGTGGCTATCATCGGTAGTAGGCTGGGACAGATAAACTACTCCAATGACGTGACAAGTGTTGAATCTCTTTATGATCTGCGGCAATCAGCATACTTGGCTGCAACTGGCGCAGCTGGAGGGTTATATGGTTGTAACTTGGATTCTTCCAATGTTGAGCGACTCTTGCGGAATTCTTCAGATTCTTGTGAGGAAATCAAGAGGCTGTATGGTTACGAGGGCAAGATTGTTTTCACCGACAACAAAGATCAAAAGGTTAAGACCTTCAATCCCTTAAGTGCAACAGTCTAGACCTTGTTGGGTACAGGCCACTAAGGAACCGTTGATGGAACTGAAGAAAGCTGCTCATTTACACAAGTTCATACAATCTGTTCCTTGTAGAAATTTTTTTTTCTTTCTGATATAGCTGCTGGAACAATGAAACTAGTTTCGGGGCTTACTGGCACAGTGTCCTTTCTTCGCAACCTCGAATGTCTCTATGATAGTTTTGGAATTGGTGCACATACGATCGACGCGGTCCAATTATCTCTTCAAGATGCTGGGTGCAATGTTTTATCTGTAAATGCATATATTAAAAACACAGTTGCTGAAGTAAGGCAGCACTATAAAATGAAAGAAACGGCAACAATAAATGGCCCTGAAGGAACTGTTTCTAGAAAAACACAGGGGTCAGTGGTGCTTCTCGAAAGAGGTATGGAACAGCTACGAGATAACGTAGATAGACTTGGTGACATTGACCTGCGTACGCTGCTAACAACTCAGGTGGAGAACCTTCATGCAGTCTCTCACTTCTAAAACGAGACTTTCACCGCTCTTCAGTATGCTCAAGATTTTGGAACAATTTCAAAGGAATCTTCAGTGACGAAGTGGGGTGCGAAGTACTTCACGCTTGAGAAGTCTTATTATCCAGTGCCTAAATCCAGTGTGGAGTTACGAGACGATGAAACCTCCTCCAGCTGATAACGTTGACCCCAACATTGAGGCAGCCATGAAGGAATTGGTTGACAGGTATCGACCTGTCAAGGACGGTAAGAAGCGAATCAACAAAAGACAAAGCGGGAGCCCTGCCGCCAGCTGTATATTCCAGTACGCCATCGTGTACTAGAATAACATTCCAGGAGGATGTTTAAGATGATCCAGGGACAGAAAATGAAGAACGAGTCGACCAGGATACAAATATTCCACGAGCTAAAAACGAAGTACCGAGAATCACCTTTGTTGACGAAAGCATGCTCAGAGTTGTCGCAATTGGCGACGTGACAGACCTCACCGAGCAAGAGGATGAATTCGACACCGACTCGGAGAGCGATGCGGATAATGATACAGACATAACGTTCAGCAGATTTGGTCGCGCCACCCGCGCTCATTTCCGCCTTGATCTCTAGAAACAGTTGGGACAATCGGGACTATTCAGGTATGAAATATAATCAAATGCTTTTGGCCAGGATGGAGTGACATGTCTGTTATTTTTGTTAACTATTACACATTTTGAGTACTGTAGCCGATCTTATTGGTGAAAGAATATTCTGTTGTTGCATTCATTGCTAGTCAAATTTAAACACTCGTATATGTTAACTCTCATTTTCCTTGTGATTTTCGTATTTATCTCTTTTTGTTTACAGTGCAGATTCACCAACTGGGTTCATCTCACAAAGCTAACCAATCATACTGAGGTATTCATACAACGGATGGCAATCCGTAAATTTGCTTAATTTTACTGTTTATTTCGATGTTCTATCCCATTGGCTGTTTGATTTGAATATCGTAATCTGATTTCTTACCAACATATTCTCTCAAAGTGGTCACGGTTGGTGTATCCTCGCTGTAAAAGCGCTTTAAGAATAGAATTGTTATGAGTTATACAAGCCAAATCTGCGGTAGTCTTCAAATATCGTCGGTCATAAGTCTGTGAACATCTTTGGCAGTCTCAGTGGACATCTTCGGCAGTCTTTGGACATCTTCGGCAGTGTTCGGACATCTTCGGCAGCCTTCAGACATCTTCGACAGCTTTCGAAATCTTCGGCAGCTTTCGGGTATCTTCCTCACTCTTCGGAAGTCTTGAAATAATCCCGAATTGTTGGAAATTGGCCAAAAAAACCTCTTTGATACAATAAACATAGGCCCAACATAGATATTTCCCTTTTTAGGGCGTGGTTTGTTTGTTTAAGGGAAAAAAATAATGTTACAACGAATTTTTTAATGTTAGTATTAAAATGGCTAAAAATTAACTGTTTAATGTTATACAGTCAAAAAAATAAGTATTTAGTGTTATCGAAGTACCCCCATTCAGACCCTCTTCTTTATCTATCCATTCTAGATCACCGCAATTGATGTCGATAATGCCTACCTCTTTGATGCCGAACCTGGCCGCGTGCTCCTAAAGGCATAAATTTCTCTGGTGTAATGACTCGTAGATATTTTATTTTTCCTTGTGTAAGCGGCCTACCTTACTCAGTTTTTGACCCAACATTTCATCGGCCTCGATGAGCTGAGGAATGAGATGAACTACTTGACTCAGATAAGCTTACGACTCTTTAACCTCTTTCCTAACGTAAGACCTCAGGTAATTTTCATCGGTTGCGCTACTTAAATGCTCTTCGGGAGCAACTTTCATGAACTCAACTTTGTTTTTGTCGAATTGTATATGTTTATGCAAATCAAATAACGTCTCCTTAAAGGAAATGACACTAATCAAAGGAAGGCTAAGCGTTAAAGCAACCAAACCGGGTGGAGCCCAAATAGGACTTCTCACACCAATCACAATTCTTCGAGCCTAATCCCAGTGATCTGGAGCGACCAAAGGAAAGTTTTGGCCATTCTATATATGTATATAGAAAGGTATTGTCAGTCACTGCCCAGCTATCTTCGTGTACTGGTACATTATCTGATGTCCACGTAGTGAATTCTTCCTGTACCTACGGGGATTTGAGATAACAGGACAGATCACGGGCAGCAGTATCTATTCTGCTGTTGAGATATTCCTGAAGCTGTCTTTGTACTGATCCCTGATGTTTTTTCATACTCTGAAGACGTTCCGCTACTAAAAGAATTTTCTCGGTATCTTTTCCTCGATTTTCGAATGAATTACGAAACAAAGCTTTTGTTAGGTAACCCATACGAGAAAGGAGATAGTAAATCCACCCAACAAAATAATAATAATGAAAAATTTACTCTTTAAAACTTTGGGAATACTCGATCGATCAATCACTCAAAATTGATTAGTATGGATTGATTAACTGATTTCTGATCACTGATTCCCATCGTGAATCTTACTCTTCCACTATTACTAATATGACTTATGAAAGGTGTCAAAGGTAGTTTGCTGATATGTCGTGACACTACGTGACGCCGCAATTAATTATGTAACGTTTTACAAAAACTGTTAAGATTATGAAGTTAGTTTCGAGTCTGCATGATGATTTATAATAATAATTGAACTGAGTGGAGTGCAATTTGGGCTGAAATCATGCGTGTGACTTTCAGACCAAAATACAAGACTTGGTCAACAACAAGACTCGGTTCAAATATTTTATTGATGCAGTACTAAACCGGTTTGAAATTAAATTCATTCATTTGGAGGTGGGGGGGGGAGGGAAAATAAGAGTTTTGGAAACAAAAGTTGCAAAATTTGCAATATGATACTCTTTGTCTTTCATTTTCTTGCAATTTGATCGGTTTCTTTAAACAAGCCTTGAAATCTGATTGGTTGTTTTGTTTTTAGTGTAGCCTCCTCATTGGTAGTGAAATTACATTTTTATAATTTTTTCTTATGGCGTAGGGGTTTTTTAAATAACACATTTCCGATTTAAAAAGAAAAAAATTCCAGTTCGGTCGGCATATTAGAGAGGGACGGTGGGCCTATTAGAGTGCTGATACTGTCTTTTTTGTTTCTTAGTAGAGTCGCGTTACCCCCTGGTGACATGCCGTAGAATTCTAGTGTTTCATTCCATCAACACTGCATCAGATCTCGCCACTCATTTGGAGGCTCCCGCCTGTCTTGAACATGCTCCAGTCTTCTACCTTGAACCACTTGTTCATGGAGCTCCTCAGCAGAAATACCGTGAAATGTTCTCTTACCATACCAAACCTCCCTTAGCATTAATCCAAATCTATAAATCCTCTTTGCGGTCGTAGCGTCTGAAGGACGCCACCTCTGTTGAGCCATGTAGTTTGGAGCTCCCATTTGAGTACCTGTGATCATGTCTTCTTCTTGAGATTGACTGACATCGGCTAACTTGACAAAATTGTCATTCGTTTCACAATAGTCATATCCAACTGTCAGTTATCGAGATAACTTGATACATGACCATACAAAGATGATTTGCTTACCAAACTATAAAAGAAGTTTTTGGGCGAGGTGAGAAGTCTCTCGTGCATAGTGCGAGACTGTAAAACTCAGATTCTGAGTCCATCGTAATTCAAGTCCATCGTAATCCGAGTCTATCAACCCATCCAGCTACTCACCCACCTACCCATCATCGACATGGATAAAGATCGAGAATTTAACAGCACTTTTTCGACAGAGGCTATTCCTATCGTCCCGTTGTGAGAGGACGATAGAACCCTTGAGCTTCATCATCCTGCACGCATCTGATTAGTGTTGGCCTCTCCAGCCTTCGTACACTAAGCCGTATCTCAGGTCAGGGTTATTTTGCAAGGGAATGTTTCGGCAACACAACCAAGAAGTTTTTTGCTGTATCTTTCCTCCCGATATTAATAATGACTCCTCTGGCTATCGACAAGTTAGTCATGGCAAAGGAAAAAAAAAAAAGAAGGCTGTCACTGACAACATTCCTTCTGAGTACTAATCTCGCAGGGTGTCACGTCTTAAGAGTGGACCACATTTGGATTTTGTGGGCAAATGTTTAAAATTACGATATTTACACGTGACTTCAGCTTTAAAACAGCACTGCATAGAGATTTCGTGTTCTCTAGAGACAAAGTACACTTTTCGCTTTTTAAAACCTAAGTTTTCTTTTTTCTCAGACCTACCGTTATTGTGTTTTCATCTTAACGAATATCAGCTGTACTGCCTTTTGAATGCAGCTCCTTTGACTCTCTTTGTATGTAATAATAGTCGTCTATACATAACTGCAATGTCACAGAAATTTGATACAATTTAGTGATGAAGATTGAGTATGAAAAGTGAGACTTTCTGTTGTCACGAGTTGTTAACTTTGTCAACGGTTATAGATAACAGAAATTTATTAAAAGATAATGATGTGAAAAGAACGAGGCTTTTCGTGGTCGCGAACATGAACTTAGAGGGATATTTCCGGCTGAATCTCTCTGGGAAGTTACGAAAGTACCGGAGGGACAGAGGTATATAATGCTAGCCATTGTTGAGTATGAAACTAATTCAAATATTCGCGGTAAGTATTGTTATAAACGTGCCGTTCGAGATACCTGCGAAAATGTTATTCCAGATCAGTGTAATGCCTTCAAGAAGGAAATGGTATCTCCCTTAAACTTAGAAGGACAGTATTCATCTCTCGGGGAAATTTCGAGCTCCAGTGTGAAACTGACGAAGATCCCTGTTAAAAAAAGATTCGTTAAACTTAAGAAGACAAATCTGGGATAAGCCGGTATTTCATTTGATCCAGACAAAAACTTTATTACGTAAAACCGTTATTGTCTCATTATGAATCATTTACTTGAGAGCATAATCTGAGTTGTTTATCACGAAGCATGACGACGGGAAATTCTGTAATATGAAAGAAAAAGATTTCTCTAGGGCGGACCTACCGTTCCCCCTTTTTTCGTTAAAGACAAACGTCCAGTTGGCCTTCCTGACATTGATCGAGGGACAGAAATTCAGCAAGGAACGCCCCCTTATTTTGTTTCTCTCTTTGATCCTACCACAAACACTCCTTTTTACTCAGCCTACAAAGTTTTACCCGAGCAGGCAGCGAAACTTAGCACGCATAGGAGACCTGAACAAGATTGGAGTGATCCTCCAAGTACGTAAATGGCTATTTAACAATTACTTATTTCAAGACCGATTGGACGACAATCAATCCATGAAACAAATACAAAGGCTTGGAGTATACCCTGCGTTGCTATAAACACACAACGTTATTTAGAAGTGGGGATAGTCATCATATTTCCACTTCTTAAATTTTTTCTCCTGAAATCGTTTAAAGCACTTAATATTTCCTACCCTCTTCTCGTGCTCTACTAATGCGATTATTGCTCACTGAGCGTGCATTGTGGCGTTGGTATCTGTGTCTGGAGGATATCTGAAGCTAAGAAATACCTACATTTCAACTTGGTAATTGTATGGAGTACTCTGTGGGTTGCGAAATCGCAACTTCTTTTGGGTTTGATTCCTCTGAGGTGACTTCGACGTGAACGTTAAAAAATCGTATCACCCCACCTTTATGTTTTCCACGCCTGAGCTCAAAAATTATATTCTTTCTTACTATTACTCTCTGTGCTGAAAAAAAAAATCAGTGAGCGCGCAAAGGATGAAGGGATTTTGCAGGAGGGTTTGCTTATAGTCGTTGATCTTCTAAAATTAACCGCAACCAAGTTGCAAGGGTACGGCAAAGGCAAGGGTAACAATCAAAAACTCGAGAAGCTTTAACTTTTTTTACAGTTTCCTTCTTGGCCGAAAATTTTATTAGCATTGCCTTTTATCGTTCAAAAACGAACAACAGTTGAAGGTATATTGTTAGAAGGTGTTGGAAGTAAACCTTTGAATTGATCAGGCCTTGATTTAACCCCTACGGGGCTCGGCCTAAGGCTCAGGGTGAGTTCAATGTGGAAACCTCCAATTCCAAGTTCCTTCTACATATCACTATCCTATTATTCTCCTGTCTGATCCTGAGACCCTCGACTGAACTGTATCTGATCGACTAAAGCAAATTTCAGCTGTTGCCAATCTTTTATAATTGAACGACATTTGCGCACTGAACTTGCTCAGGTCTGCATTTGGATATCGTACGCGTGCTTTGAAATCATTCCAGGCTTTTGTCCATGCTTAATCTGCAATTTTCCTCGCTTCATCTGATCTTAGTCACACAAGTCCCAAGGGATTGAAACTCGAAGAGTCAAATAATTTTTATTGCTTTTTTAACCAAAATGGTTGTATTGACAATTTTGGCAAATTCGAATGATCACACGGTTCGATCCGGAGAACTTCTCGGTAAATCAAAATATTCAGACCTTTGACTTTTCATCTCTATAATTCATTGTATAATTTGAAGACAAAGAGAGATACATCGATCTTCGGCAGACAGCAATGCAAGTGTTGAAACAATTATTTCAATCAAATACACTCTTGGGAGCCCTGTGAAAGCCCTAAGGAAAATATTGGGTGAAGGCAGAGGATTTAAAGTCACAATGAATCATTCAGTGGCAGGAATGGTAATCCTTAATCCCTACAAAAAGAATGTTAAACTTGATAGAGATATTTATTTACTCCTCGGGATTGATCAGCGTTTGCAAGAGATAAATCTCACTGGTCAATTTACTTCTCTCAACACTAAACTTTTCTACTGTGATCTTTTGGACAAGGATGAAAACCTATTCAATGGGGAACCCACGAGCGTTCTTGGTTGCTTTGACATTGCTGAGAGCCAGTTTGAAAAGGTAGACTATTCTCCACCGTATCCTGTGTTACGGAAAATATCACCAAGGAAGGATATCACATCCATATGAATTTCGTCTCTCGTCAGAATAAGGAGATCATTAATTTCAATGGTATGCCAGTGAGGTTTGATTTAGAGATACCATTTCTAAAATGTCTGCTAAAAATATTTTGCTAAGCCCTAAGCAAGGGCAGATTGGGACGCTTAGCGACCCTAAGCATGAGGTTCTTGAGAACGAAGTGCCTCATGGCTCAAGCCTTGAGCCAAGCTCTCCAAAACTTAATCCAACAATACCGGAGGATAATATTACAATTCGGGAAGATTATAGAAAAAAAAATCGAATTGAAGCATCAGAAAACAATTTCAATCGGTGAGGCAAAACACCTTGCAACCAGCAGTTTGTCTTCAAAAGCAGTGTAAGATGGATGAATCTCTGATGTTGAGTTGGACTTGATTTTGCGTGAGATCGAACAGTATTATTCATTCAAAAACCAGCTTAGGAGAAAAGCAAACGAAGTTGATGTTGACACCTTTAAGAAGCAGATTAAAGAAGGATTTAAAAAAAAGATAAGAATCACTCATAAGTCACTAGAGATACATTATGATTATAGTTCACCTGTGAAAAACTCAAGTTGCCTTGAAATCAATGTTGTTTTCAAAATGAGCAAAAACTGTTTTTTATAATCAAAGTTGCTTTGAAGGTTGACATATAATCAATGTTAAAATTCATGAGTTGCCTTGAAATCAAGGTTGTTTTCAAAATGTGCCAGAATCGCCCTTTTCTAACTACTCGGGCAGATAGTTTCCACGATGAAGGTCTGAGCTGTGGAGTTCGAACCATTACAAGTAAAACGAGTCGTTGCGTTTACATTCGTTGTTGGTTAAGCATATCTTGACGAAAAGCCATTTCAAATCACTCCCCGAAAGCAAAATAGCCTTTTTAATCATAGAAGTTAAAAAGAATGCTTACCTGACCTGCGGCCCAGTTTGGCTTAGTTTGAGACTGGTTTAATGCAGTGATAACCTGAGTTTTCAACTCGTCCAACGGTTTTAACCCTTTCGATGAAATATTAAGGGCCTCCATGATTTTAAACATTCCATACAGATCATCGATTTCATAGATAGTTTTCGTTGAGTCACAAGCCACAGTATCGAGTTTTCACCAGCTGGGAACACATCAAAGCGGCGAAAAAGACTTGAAGAGCTTCAGTTGATCGTGGGGAGTATTTCATAAACGGATGGTGATGTTATTGTTAATCGTTTATGCATGAGTACAGTTTATTGCCAAGTGTAAAAAAAGCACGAGGTCTCACTTCTGAGAAAGTTAAGGATTTTTTTAGTGGTTAATATATCTTTATCTTTAGATTCGTTTATTCATCTCTTTATTTCTTTTTGCTTGTAGAAGTTTTATTCTTCCCAGAGCAGAAAAAAGTAAATTTGGAGATGTATTTCTCATTCAGTTCCAGACGTTATATGATTAGTGTGGCAAACGTGCCTGACAGCGAGCAACTTATCTGAACTCTCTCGCACTCTTGCTATCAAATCAATGGCAACAAATTCAAAATAAATCAATTCAGTGAAACAAATCATACTCAAAACCTTAGCACGAAAATTTTAAAGCTAAGTTTATAAATGCTAGAGTCTTGAATTTGGCTTGGACTTTTATATTCCGTGTATGTAGGTGAGGTTAATCCTGTTAACATTTTGAACTAGGACGCGACGCAATTCCGGGAAATGAGGCGCGACGTGGAGTTGTAGCTTTGTTATTAGTGTTGAAATTAAGAGGAATCATTTTAAACCAATGTTTACTGGTTGTATTTACAGACCAGGGAACCAAAACTTGATGAATTTATTACTGAGATGGATGAAGGTTTCTCAAACTGTAACCTCGAACGCTAGGAACTGATTTTACTAGGAAACTTTAGCGTTGATTGTAACACCACAAACAACAACACGCAAACTTCAGGAATACATCTAGATACGATCTCAGCCAAATAGTTTCTAAGCCTGTTCGTGTCACTGGGAATTCAAAGACTACAAAGGACTTAATTTTTGTGAATCATAACCATCTCATTATTTAGTCTGAAGTTATTCTTTAATCTCTTAGTGACCACAACTGGATTCTTTGGGTTTTCCAAGCAGGTGTTCGTAAATTTCCAGCTAAAGTGAACCAAATATTTAGTTACCCGTTAAACGCACAAGGAAGATGGATGTTTGCTAATTCTTTACCACGGGTACACATTTTTCCCCGATTTCTCAAAGAAAAGTTTGAATAAGCTCCTGGTTTTTTTCCAAGGTAGCCGTTCATCCATATATATTTGTCAGAGATGGGTGGAGAAAAGCTGCTCTGGTGGAGAGGCATAGCGTCATCCAAGGAATATTGCAAGATTCTATCATTTTCTTTTTTTATGGAAATTCAGAAAGGTAGGTCTCTATCTATCTATTACTTCACCTCGGATATGGCTTCTTTTGCATAAAGTTCTTAAGCTTTAATTACTGCAAGCGACACCGCAGGTCGGTTGAGAGGAGGATTTAAGCAAACAGGAAGAAATGTAAGTTTACATGATTACTTTCGTCTATAGCAGTTATTTTTGTTGGAAAGAGAGAAATCTTGATAACAGGTCATGACTGAACGAGGTGTTTTTTGCCCAGACAGTTGTAGCTTCGTGATTAACATACATTCAGAAATGATCTAAACAACCGCCAATGTTGTTCAAGTCTTTTTGAAACCAAGCAGCCAATCTACTCTGTAAGTGAGGCAAATTCTGAATTCATGACTCCATGTTTCTCGGCCGCAAGAGCTTCAGAAGTTGAAAGGCGGATAATTTGAGAATTTATGTCGACATCTGGCAAACACTGACTCAACTTGTTGATTATGTTTGCCATGACCGCATTTCCCTCTTGGGTTGGTAGGGTGTCCCACTTGCTGCAAAAGGGCAAAGTGCAGTTTGGTCAGAATTCCATTTGCTGTTCAGTCGTGAGTTTCCTCGTTTTATGCAGAAGTTGAACAAGCTAACAAATGAGAAAACAAACTATATAAAACGATTCTATTAAAAAATAGGGCTTCAATGATAGCTTTTTGGGCTCCCTGAGCTATCTACAAAAATTGTTGTTTAATAAATTGGTCGAGCACTGATTAGGAGTTGAAAATATTTGCAAGTAGTCATTTCAGAAGGTATCAATTATTACTCACCCAACTCCGAACTCTGAACTCCGCCGGCATTGCTGCTTTTGATGACATAGATGAAAGCAAAGGCATTTGGTAAGTAGTTCACAACAATGTCGTCCATAATATCTGACTCCCCGACTTCAGGGCTGTCAACGATCACAAAACCATCCTAGTGTGGAAACAGAGTAAGTAAGTTTATTTTCTCCATGTAATTCTCCTTACAACTCGGCGTTAAAACCCCCAAAGGGTTCGTGAAATTTAGTTGCCACCTTACATCATATTTATAAAAGCATGGTTTGAAGCATGATCGTCGGAGTATCTAACCTGTAATAATCTGTTAGACCAAGTTAGTTTGATGTCTTTTCTCTTAAACTTGCTGACTTGACATGAACAAATTCTGATATTTGATCTAAGTAAGGCGAGGATTCTTTGAGATACTATATCTCGGGAGCCTTTCCTTCTTCGTTATAGTGTATCTTTACCCTTTCCTCTCTTCCATATTTCAATTCACACATTGTAGATGCTGTACTCAGAACTGTGGAATGGAAAAAGCTCTTCACCAAGAATTAGGGTCAATATGCTGCTATTGCCTGCACTGGTCTCCCCTAGGCGTAAGTAAAATGCAAAATGATCATTGCTCAAATCTTAAATCTCAAGTTCTTCCTTAAACAATCAATATAAGTTTGAAATTTTACCATAAGAGAAACACAATTGCCATGCATAAAGTATTCTTCCCATAAACTCGAGTTCGAGTGATTCAACGTAATTTTTTTCGGTTTTAAAGGTCAAATCCTCACTACATAGGGTAAACTCTAAGGCTTAAGAATTCAATAGATCGTAGCTGACAGTTTTGTTAAGACAAAATGAAATTAATTGGGAAACATCCTAGCCAAGTAGATTTTTGATACTCCTCTTTGTCACCGGGTTTCTTTGTGCTTAGCATGATCATGACTGATCAAAGCACTCCAGTGGTTTGGGCAAGGTATTATATTCAACATATTCACCTGCTATTAAAACAACATAATCTCTGTCGTCTATTCTTTTCATTCTTGTCTTGACTTGACGTCGCCCTCGCTTGTTTTCAGCAAATCAAGGAAGGTAGCGTCAAGAAAATAGGTGGCTTTGATGAAAGCTGTATTTCCCTCTCCACCTCAGCGTAATAATCAAGACGGGCTAACGACTTTTTCTTGTCCATTGATTGTGCCTCTAAAATCACCTTAAAGGCCTGAAACATGCGTAAATATTGAATGGATTAAAGAAGTAAATGAGTTCATTTAGACTAATTGTAACATTTAGGCTAGAAGAGAAAAAAGCTGATATTACCGCTGGGCAATTTACACTTAATTCAAGAAAGTTGTTTTTTTGCTTGTTAAAAATGCTGCGCCGAGTTTAAGTTGGTAAAGTATCAGTTACGTTCTATATTCCTATTCACAACTGAAAAACGACAAATGTATAAAAAGCCACAGGGAATATAAGAACGTATTTCCGGACCAAATGCAGCTACGCCGACCCTCGGTTAGAGATTGAGTACAGTTCACCACATATACTAACTATGCATGCATAATTTAGAGTATAAAAACGTTAACGAGATGCTTGAACGTCCATTAAGCAAGAACTCACCTATTGTTAAGTGGCTGAGATACATAAATTATTACTGTCAGACCTCATATACACTACAACTAAAGAGTTTGTTTGTGCCAGGAGGAAATTATTTTCATTTTCTCTCACTGCCACCTACAGCTTAGTTCCGCCGAATGTAATGACATTTCATCAAAGCCACCTATTTTCTTTACCTGGATATATCGTTAATATAGTTTTCAAGTAGAAAGGAAAAAAAAAAAGTCATAAGGTTTCAGTATTGTTAGTTTAATTCTCAAGTAACCTTGCAAGAAACAAATGGCAGACACCGTGAGCCAGATGAATTACAATTAAATTTTTAGGTTGAAAGGACTGAAGTAATTACTTCATTTTGTGTTCGAGACCTTACTGTCTGCCTGCTGTTGTGAATTCACCGATCAGAACAAAATATAAAGCTGAGCCTAACTAATTTCAATTTCCTTCGGTGAACTGTCTGCCAAATGACTATGAGGTCTTTTGCGACATGATTCTGTCATGATATTGCCATAGTTAATCATATTTTTCGTATGGCAAGCTTGATAGTACTGCCTACGACCGATAACTGACCAAGAAAGAGTACAAATGCTCGATTACTCGTGACAGTGAGTTTAAAAGCTTCAAGCAATTTCTTAAAAGCAGAAGCCCAACTACTTTGGCAGCAAGGCCATTGTAGCAATGGCAAGCGGCCGAACCATTGAGCCATGACACAGAATAAAAACAATATAGAGAATAATGGTCTTTAGGTGTTTCTGAGTAAAAAGTTCGGAGCCAGTTTGAGAAAATAACTCAATAAAGCTTAGAATTAACAAATTTACAAGCGAGCGATCTGCAGCTGTTCTGCTGTATTATGTTGGGTCGATTGATGCATTGATCAGTACCCGAACAGACCTGAAATTATAGAGCTGAATTTAAGGATCAAGTTGCGTTTCTATGTTTCCTTGAAATCTTTGCAGTAGTTTTAATCGCGTAATAATAGTAAAAATCTGTTACTGCAAGACATCTTAGATAGTAACGATATATGATACATGAAAGCCTCATAGATTCTGAGCCATTTGTTTTACGATGCCACGTCGATAAGCTACAGCGATGTGATGACAAGTTTAGTCTAAAAATTCATCGACTCGCTATCGAAAGGCACAACTGAAAGGAATAGCATTAAAGGATACTTGCTGCCAAGTAAAAGTTTGTAAAATTAAATTATTTCCCTGGTAGTCTTACCTCATTGCAGGCCGAGCGGTTATCTTTCGAGAGCTTAGATGAGCGAGCATCCTTTCCTTCTTTCTTCGATGTTTTGGCATCCTGTAGTTGGAATGCTCAAATTCTGCACTATATTGATAACCTCGGCTATGTCATCTACCTCATTCAATATTTGTCTGATGGCTTCCATTTTTTTCTTCCAAAAGAAACTGTGGGAAATTGAATATACGGCGCCCAGTAGAGAATGAATTTTTTAATTTTTGGGATTGTTTGGAAGGCCTACTTTCCTAGAATTATCATGTGACGACTCACGGTAATCAAGGTGTCATGTCATGTTTACATTTAATGCAAAGCGACCTTTAATTTGAAGCAGTGAAGTCGCTCTTGAACCTGATATAATAGAAATCTTGGGCGAAAATACTAGCGTTATCAACCGCTTTGCTCTTCTAAACTACTAATCCCCGGCTGATTTCAAGAATAATCAAAGTCTAATCTTGACGTTGCATCAGTCGGCCTCTAACAGAACTATACCTCGAAAAAAACAGATGCTCTTTCTTTATTTATAGAAGTCAAACATTCCAAAGCTATTTAGCGTGAGTCAACCATGAATCCCTTGTTGAAAACCGCTCACGTTCGAAAGTTTTTTAGAATTCTCTTATAAACATGGACGGAAAAGCCAAGATAGATAACATTTTTGCGATGATTTTGTTTTCTAGGAAATCGCTTCTGATTGCTATAAGTGTCGCACATTTTATCATTTCATTGGCTGGCAGCTCGTGGTGATGACAGGCATGTCTTTCAACCGTGACATACAAACAATCTTTACTCGTCGTAAACGCGAGAACTATCTGATTTTGGCTCTTGCATTACAGCTTGAAGTGGAATCACATCGCGCCAATCAATTTATCAGCGTTTTGAAATACTGATACATATTGGAATAGAACTACTTGCAAAAAAACCACAAATGAGAGAGATTAAATAGAGACTTACAAAGCCGTTTACCTGTCTGTGACAAATGTGTAATGACAGGGACTTTCCCTTATTCCCAGAAAAACCATCGCAGTTTTCTCAGAATTAGTTACACCTGAAATGTCTTATTTTGTATTTCTTTAGGCAAGGAGCAATGATCTTTGCATTTAAACCTTTTCCATTACCCCCAGAAGCAAAATAAGGTGAGATACAGCTTAGTCGAGTTAACTGTTTAATATGTGGAAATGATACTTACGAGACGGCTGTAGCCTGATGAATCATGCTAACAATTGATTCTTTTAAACGACCGTGACGCGGTACGTGTATTTTGTTCCTTGCAAACTGAATTGTTTTGCCTGTTGAACTTATTTCATAAATACTTCGTACAGGCACTTTTTAAGCGTTTTATGTGATGCTTAATATGGATTCACCATTGAATTTCAGAGCGCCAACCGTCTGAGAAGAGTATTATGGTCTGTTAAGAGATCAAGTGATCGTGCACAGGAGAAAATCCTGTCTTGTTTTTTACCTTCCGAGTTTTGTGGCTCATGAATAGGATTTGTCTGTGGCACAGCGACTTTGAATCACCCGTTGAGCATCTCTATAGGCTGGTAAATGGATAACTAGGATTTGAGGAATGCAACATTACGAGTGCTTTTAAAAGAAGCAACCTTGCATTGGGTATTATTTGACGCCATTTGAAAAAATACTCTACTGTTGACGTGACTTCTCGAGAATTTTGTCAAAAACGCATGATGTCTACGGGGCTGGAGAAAGTGGATACCATAGACGATATACAAGAAGCTTGCGAATTAGTTAAATCTTTTGGTCTTTCAACAAAAGGCTTAGATTCGTTAAATGAGGTGAAGAACAAACTTCGTGAGCATTTAAAAGGGTTGGAGGAGACTTCGTCGCGAAAGATTGGAGAGGTATGCAATCACAGTAACACTTTTTCAGTTCAGATATCCCTGATATTTATGCAGAATATGATAAGTTATCCGACTATATGTAAATCTAAGCTGTCGGAGTACACATTGTTTCGCTTGTTTTGCTGCTTTAAAGCAAATTTATCCATTGTTATTCTTGCATAATATTTAGAATGGTTTAATATCATAATGCGGTAAAATTCAATTGAAATGTCAACTCTGACCACAACTTACGGAGGTCTAAACAGAAAACTTTAGTTTATGCAAGGAATCATCGCGATCAATGACCAATAAATATGTGCAGTCAACCCGTAAATACCAAAATGGCTGCTTACCAAACGACTGTGGGTCATTACCCAAACGGATATCAAAGCACGTTTGCTTAGTCATCATTTTTGGAGATTATATTTAGCTTTGTACCCCTTAACGTCTTAGATAGCGAGACAAAATCATTAAACATTACCATGAAATGCGTGATCAAGAATGAGGCAATGCAGGAATGTATCAATACCGCTATACCCAGTACATGTTTCGTTTGGTTCTCCAGACTATAGATCGATGGCTTCATTTTCATTTTTATTCAACAATTAGGACCTATTGGCTTGCAGCAATAGTGACGATTTCAGTCCTTTTTTGAAGCTCTGAAGTCTCCGTATCCTTCGAAAGAATATTCATACAAATGCACAATTTGCTAATCGAAAATGGCATCCCCTCTGCCCATAAGGGTTTTGTCCCTAAATATTAATTTTTTTCAAACTTGTCATTGTGGTCGAAGTAATATTTTCGACACGGAATTTTGACAGTCTGTACAATCGTTTTATTCATGTGTTCCATGGAATATTTAGAGGAATCGCTTGCGGGTCAAGGGGGATTGGTGCTCACTCGCAGAGAGGTAGCCCGGCTAGTTTCAATATATAAAAAGAGTGACTACTGTTTAAAGCTTTAAACAACAGCTAAGTATATCCAATGGGTTCCTCGAAAAAAAAAAACTCGTCAAAAATGCAATATTTATCGCTGATTTACAAGATTGAAGATCTGGAGGTGTTCAAAATCAGCGCTGCTACCAGTCGTGAACCGGAAAGGCCTCTAATAGGGAAAAAAACGTTTAGCAACGCTACCTGTGTTCACTTGGATCAAATGTATTTAGTGCTAACTACCTCCAACAATTTTGATTGAGATCTTTTTACTTGCAGACACACGAAGTTATCTCCAACGCTGGGAAATCGGACGCTGACAAACGCAGAAAGTTGCTCGATCTTTATAAAAGAACTGAGCAGTTCATGGGTCAGTTTGAGGCGGAATTTTTGGAAATACTTGAAAAGAGCTTCGAAGACCTAAACAAATCTTTGCAAGAGAGAAAACAGAATGTTGAACCAAGTGATCAGTACGTTGTTCTTGTTGCAGGTGTGTTTTGCTGTTATCAGTAAAATAGTTTCATGTTCGCTTAGACTTGGGATGCAGTCACAATCGTTATGGACGAGGTATCATTTCGAGAAGCAACAAAAACGCCATCAGCATCTTATATTAATTAACACTCCTTTGCATTACCGTAACTGTTAACAGACAATATTATTTAACCTAAACTGTTATATATTCCTCTGCAAAAGAGGGCAATATCCACAAATTTCTAAGGTGGTTGGGCCTCTGTTTTTTTTTTGGTTATCATGCTCTCGCACTTAGTCACTAATTTTATAAGCCAGTTCAAGATGAATTAAATCTTGCTCACAGGTAGTGTTTTTTGATCTTGCTTTAACGCTTTCCAAGCTTCGATTATGCTTGGTCATTGCCTTTTATTTTATGATTCCTCTCTTGACTAGGTGAGACTAGCGCTGGAAAAAGCAGTGTAATTAATCTCATCTTGGGAGAAGACCTTCTTCCCTCTAGAACACTAAGCACCACGTCCACAATTTGCGAGCTGAAATATGGAGAAAAGCCGATGGTCGGTGTACACTACAAGCCTAATGGAACAAAAACTCCTGAACCAGCATTCCACGAATTGAATGATGGAAGTAAAACCTACAAAGAACAAATAGAGAAGTTTGTGTACGTCAAAGAAGATCGAGAGAAAACACCTTACGAGAAAATTGAACTGTTCTTTCCACACCCTTTGTTTAAGGTACTAACGAAGTTGATAGATGAAGCGAAAAAGTTACGACCAAATTTCGGAATAAAAAAATTCAGGATCAACAGTAAACCTCTGCACGTAGCTCTATGGAATAAATTATGGAGTTAGACTATAAAGATTGAAACAGCTTATTTCTGAAAAACTTTAGCGGTGTGTGAGGCGAAGATAATTTCAGTGAAAGGAATAATAAATGCTTGTTCCAAATTCCATGGTTTCTTTGGTTACAGTGCATTAAAATAAAGGTGCGAGAACCTTTTAAGTTAATGGCTAACCATGAAGAATGGTTTAAGAAAATTTTTGAGAAATGCTGGTCATGGTAAATAATATTTCAATGAACTCATCTATAAAAATAACCCACGGAACTTGTAAAAAGTAATAGGACTACGAATCTCATTACGGATTCATGTTTCAATTTCAGGAGAATGTAATGATCGTTGACAGCCCTGGTGTAGGAGAAAGCGATGTCATGAGTAGTTTTGTTCTCAACTACCTGCCGCGGGCCTTTTGTTTCATGTACGTTCTCTGTACATCCAATGCTGGAGGAATTCAGCCCGACAGGGTAAGGAAAAGGAACACTAGGTATTACAAATCTAATCAAAACTATAATAACATTCTCGAACGTGACTAGTTATCACCCGATTTGAGCGCTAATAGGACAGTGTACGCGTCACGCTTGTAATTGGACAGTGTAATGGGACATTTAAAGGGACAGTTTACACGTCATGCCTGTGTAAGTGGACAGAAAAGAGCGCCGGGTTAAATGCTGTATTTTCTATGAAAACATGTAACCGATGTCTAGTTTCTTTCTCAAATTGTGCCATTGTTTTGATTAACTTGTAACAGGACTTCGTATCGTCCAATTCTGTAATTATACTCGTGATTAATATCTCATTTGTGAAAATTTCTTGAACCTGTCATTGCACATCTTGAATGTTTGACGCAATTTTACCTCACCAACCTAAACTGAATAAATAGAAACATGAAATTTCTTTGTTCTCCTTTTGAGGTGTGCATCAAAATTTCGAAGTCATCACAGGCTTAAACTATAGGTTTACAGGAAATCTGCATGTGCATGTGTTTTCAACATATGAAACTGGCTACGACTATGACTACTTCAAAAAACTTTACTACATGCAATATAGGTACAGGCAGGTGTTGTGAAAAAAGTTTGCTCAGCTTTTTCATTAGTACACATTTCTTTTTCTAAGAACCTTGTTTATCCAGCCTGTGCTGAATTCTAATTTTTCAACCAAATTTTATTATTTTTTAAAATATTATTAGATCTCTTAGTATCAGTTAATATTCTTGTATTTAAAATAATTACGTCAAATTTTGTAGATGTATGGCAGATTATTTTTGCTCTGAACCTCCTAACATTTTACCATTCGAAGGGACTGGTATTGGCTATAAAAGTATAGTCTTTGCACAACCTATGCACCAATATTGTATCCTTCTCAAAACTAGTTTATCAGAATAAGAATGAGTTACCGGGAACAAGTATGGCTTTCATGATGATAGTTTCCAGATTTGAAAAAAAGTCACTGCCCACTAAAATCCTCAGTCCTTTGCTTTGATAGCCCAACCTCATCAAAACATTGCCAACAGGAGCGATTAGCAAATTATTGATACAGACAAGAGGGCCTATTCCTACATACATCTTCCTCAATCCTGTTAGCTTACTATGGTCATGGCATTTCAAACATGGTGTATATGCCACAAGTTTTCCATTTCCCTGACTAATTACTTTGTAATAGTGTTTATATGTTGAGGAAATGGTTAGGTTGAAATATAATACAAAGACTTGCCAGTAGATAGTTTTATTACGGTTTTTATTCAGTGTAACGTAGGGCTGGAAAATAAACTAATAAGAGCTCCGCTTTTAGGCTTGGCTAAATCTACATATTACTCGTGATTAACATCACATTCGTGATTAATATCTTATTCGTGATTAAGAAACAAAGCTTCGGTCTTATTAACATTAATAATCAATTAAGAAGAGGTTCAGTAAAAGTGGGCTTCTCATCCACAGGAGAATGATACCTAAGGATTATGCCATAGTACTGTTTTCATCATTGCTTCAGTGATTCCTTAGAAATAAAAGTTGCCCTAAATCTCAGATTTAGCTTAGAGCTCTGTTTTAAAATGTCAAAGAGAAGCAGAAATGGTCGTTACTATGCTCATATGAGCGGCGAGACGCTTCTTTCCCACTTGATTATACTAATGTAGACCCAAAGCAGGACCAACACATTACAAATGTTCTATATTTTATTAACTCTTTAATATCATACTTAGTCAACGTCAATTCAAACTGATTAGTCTTTTTTTTTCCGGAAGAATATGACATCCTAATCGCTCATATTTTCAAGATAGATTTTAGACAAGCATGTGTCGCTAGACACTGTGCGGCTCCTCGGTTCGCTCACTTTATATAGCATCAAAACTAGCAACACAATTTGATGATTGTTTTCTGATGCTTTGCAAATACACATTTTTCACAAAAATCACCAAATACTACTTGGGAGGAAAGGGAAGGGTCACCATACAAAACACGATGTACTTGGGAATAGTCGCTATTATGATTCATCAAATATCTTGACTTGCGCCCGATTGGTCTAAACACACCACGTGATCGATTAATCCCCAACTAAAACATCCAAGCAATATCCCCCAATTTTCAAACTTACTTCGCTACGTCTTCGTTTCAAATTAAATTGGAGACGAGAGAGGGTTTTGTGGTTGTTAGAGAAAAAGAGAGAATTTTTTTTGTTCATTAAGTCGTACTAGAGAACACTCAAAAGAAAACGTCCCACACTTCATACAGTAAGCTGTTCATAAAATGTTTTCCACGCTCTTTGCAAAATATTGAAGGATAATAAACACAATAGCCTCTATTATGCGCCAAAACATGCACTTGTGTTTCTCCTTAGACATTATCTGTTCCTCGAAGTTTACAATTTTCCTCGAATTTCGCTCTCGGAAAACTGTTCATCCGCGGACAAATATCCGCGCATATTTTTGCACCGAATAGAGGCTACTGTTTCTATAGCGTAAACAAAGGTATTTTCCGAAATATCCTATCAGCAATTGGCTCTATATTTGGGAGCGCAGGATAGTTGAAACATTTCTTGTCAGACCATATTTGCCACGCATAGGTGTACGAAGTATCCTATTAAAAGTTGAATATAGAGTTTGTCATGCTGTATCAATTTTCTTAGGTCTTATTTTATTTTCCTTTTGTCTTAAAAGTTAGGAAAGCTACTCACGTGCGCTCAAGATCTGAGGAAAAGTGCCAACTTGGATTTGTCACTATCAGCTGCCTGTACGTTGTTTGTCTGCAACAAATGGGATTTGGTTGAGGACAATGAACGCGAAGAGGTGAAAAAGGATACGGTCAAAAAGCTCACAAGAATACTTGGTAACTTCAATCCGAAATCGCAGATTGTCTATTTGTCATGCAAAACCGCGCAGTTAGCTCAGACCTATGGGGTAGTGACAGAGGATTTCAGCAACCTAATAACAGGGATTAGTAATCTCGTAGTTTCGTCCATGAAGAATAATCTGCAGATGAATACTAGGTAGGTGAACTTCTGAATAATTCTAAGTGAAGCCTTGAATATATATTGTATCAAATACACAACAAAGACAAAACCTTGAGATGGAAATTAAAGTTCGATTACGAAGTAGAATTGGAATAAAGATGTCACTAAGGAGTCATCAAGTAAGGTAGGATGCAGATGATTTCATGAAAGTACCTAAATCAGCTCCAATGATTATTCATTTAATGGCATTGTGCTATAATATAACAGTAGAGTTTATGTTCGCGGGCATAAGTGTTTTAAGCCCGACTCGTACTCATTTCAACCCGAGCCGTTAGGCGCGTTGAAATTGTGACCAGTACGATTCACGTGGCCGAACGCAATAGCCAACAACAAAAAGAAAGGTTAAGTCCACTGAAATCTGTAAGACTTTAAAACATAGTATCTCAGCTCAATGAAATCTGTAAAACATCAAAACATGGTAAATCAGCTTCCAAATGTATGTAAAATATAGCCGAATGGCAGCCAAACAGATACGCAAAAATCAACTCACAAGAATTAAAATCGCTTATGTGGTGCAACATAATATCATATCGAATTTTTTAAAATAAATATTTTTTAGTATATTTGAAAAATCAGTACATTGTTACACTACATACTTAACTGAAAGGTTAATTACTTACATGAATACTAGATAACTTACATTTTTTTTGACTACGTATATTACTGCGTAATACAAACACAAATCATTACAATTTACTAATCAATAAAATAAATAACAATAGATTACAAAAAAAAAGATAAGAAAAAAAATTATTTTATCAACCATGTAGAGTAACAATAAAGATTACAATTATTTAAATTCTATTAAGGTTTTTCAGACAAGGAATTTTTTGAAGCACACACAACAAAGAAAAATTTTAAGATATCCTCTATTTAAAAAATCACTTCCCCAACATTTTCTATTTTTCGCTAAACAAATTAATCTTTTTAGAATTAAAAGCGATGTATTTTTCTGTTTCGTATTCTTTTTCAAAATTATTTTAAAGTGTCTTAGGTCTGGCTTAATGATTTTTTGTTTTACAGGTCCAAAGGTAGATTTGTCCTAAATCTATTATATAGTTGTCAAGATGCATTACCTCCTTCAAAATTCCGATAATCACATCACGTAACGAGAGACACCGGCAGCTACTAAGTTTATTCAATATGTTAATAAGAACCTCATTCCAGAAGGACTTTGAATAACAACACTCAAACAAGATATGGTTTATTGTTTCGCGAGTCTCTTGACAAAGGGAAGAATTTGGATTTGAAACAACCTATTTTATACAAAAGTTCATTTGAAAATAGGATAGAGTTTAACACTTTGTGTTGGAACGAGCGTACATACGGTTCGCTAGCAACTCTAAACGGTAGGAGGTATACTTCTAAGGGTTGATATTCCCTTAATTAAAACTCCTCAGTTAGCTTAGACCATTTCCTTGGCTTTTCATATTTATTTTTCATCAGATGACGGTAATAATAATGGCATTTGAAGTTTTCTAAATCAATAACCGCTTCGAAAATTGTTTTTTATATATCGTAAGTCCAACGGCACAACTTTTCTCAAGCCTGTCTCTACTAAAAAATTGTCTTTACTAAATCTTTTCTTTTCACAGTGTTAAATGACTTGATATTTTAATGCGCCAGATATCGTGAACATCCAGTTCTGATTGTATTTGTTCAATAGCGGCAATTACAGATCTTCTCGGAGAAATATTTCCACTTCTTTTGTCAACAGCGGGGTTTAAAGGACAATTAAAATCACCTCCGAAAATGATGTTTTCAATTGAGTCAAAATCTATTTCAATAATAGTTTGCAAAACCGCATGATAAAAAGAAACTAAGTCATTATCACGATTTTAAAAAAAGGTGGTTTTACCCCGGAGCTCAGCAGAAACACAAACCCACTTTACGAGGCTCATTACCATTCCTTCATAATAATACCCTCCATGATAATATCATATCGATTGGTTGGGACTGTTTTCATCGTCAAGTTTGAGACTTTGAAGCCCTTTTTTTTTCCCACCTGAGTACTCTTCTTTGTCTGCTGAGGTGCATTTCCATAAAAGGATGGAGGGAAAGCATGGAAAACCACCCTGATAATTTTAATTAAATTTTAAATGTACGGCCCGATGAAAGATGTTATTTTGAATTCTGTTGATAACTCCATTTACTCATGCAAACATTTCAGCCTTTGTCCCACACCTTAGATGTATGAAAAAAGATATAGTGAAACTGCACGATTATGCGGACAAAATCTATTAGAAGGAGTAGGGAATTGCCCAAAAGTTACATGGCTTTGTTTCCTGCGATGAAAATACACCATCGAGTGAAGTTGACGAGGAAAATGCAAATTTTTTCTTGCTTATGCTAGAAGCTCCTTTTGAAATAAACGGACGACTTTGAATGTCCTAACAAGCACTTTTCGATACGGCTTAGGAATCCGACCTGCAGGATGTCAAGCTGTGTTCGTTTTTATGCTTAAACAATGCTGCAAGAAGATTGCGCAAACGTAGCAATGGGTTTTTGATCGTAAATGGCTGCTGTCATCGTACGATTTTTTTGTTTCTGGCTTTTTAGTGATTTATTTCAGCAGGCAGAAAACTCATTTAATAACCCGAAAAATTCTCCATTTGTGTCACAATGCCAAACAAACTGATAATTTGTGGGTCCAAGCGTATAAGCGTTCTGCTTATGGTAGGGACCATAAATTCTGAAATAGAAAAATGCAGAAGACATTTTTGATTTTGAAAAAATACACTTTTCACTTTTTTGTCACTGACTAAGAAATCAGTTAAAGGAGACGGTTTGCATCACACTTGTCGTGAGGTAAAATTGATACCCAGAAAACTCTTGATTTTCTATTAAGGATTCTAAGAAATGAAAAGTTATGCATTGGTATTGCCATTTTAATTGTTTAGCAGTTTTAAACATAACATCAAACAATTTTTTATATGATTATTCTTCAGATGGTTGGAGGATCTCCTCGATCGCATGTCTCGTCAAGTCCGCATAAGACTGAAGTCAGCAAAAATGTCTCATCAGGAAACAGAAGAAAAAATCAAGAGACTGTTAAGCCGCATGGAAGAGCTACAGAATTCTCAGAAACGTATATTTGATGAACTTAGTGAGCATCAGTCGAAAATATTTGAAGACATCCTCGAGAAGCTAGCTTTGCACTTTAAATCGGAGGGAACTATCTCGAGTTTCTGCGACTGGTCTGAAGAAGAGGTCCCCAAACCCCTTGGGACATGGCGGGAAACAAAGAACGAGGTGTTAAAGTGCGTCTCAGAGAGAACACACCAATTTGTTCAGCACTGGGAAAACGAAGAGAACGAATTCGACAGAGCTCGAGTGTCATTGATCCAACATTGTTGCAAAAAGTATGATATAATGGAGGAAGAAATGCGCGAAGTAGCAGAAGATTTTTTTATCGTCGACGAGGTGGAGGGCGATCTTCCACAGGATGAAGGTGGACAAAATTTGAAACGATCTAGAGTAAGAAGAAGATTACAAACAAGTACTGCTCCGCCATGGCTTCGGCAAGGATTGGCATCAGTGGTGGTAGGGTCTCCACTTAGTATCCTCGGAACCAAACTTAAAAGGAAGCTCCACTACAAAACCAAACTGGACACGTTCCGCGATGATCCATGTGCCTACATGTCAAAGCGATCACAGAAATGCCTCAAAGTTATTTCTACTCGAGACCGCTTGCTTCCGTTCATCAACGAACAACTAGAAGACGCCGTACTGTACCTAAGACGGATCAAGGAGAAGATTCCAAAGCTGAGAGAAGGTGACGAGCTGATCTATCAACGGCTACTTGAAGACGAGAGAGGCAGTACTGAGATTCGGAAGATCTACGAGCCTTTAAACAACGAGCTGGAATCTCTGAGACGCGAAATAACCGTGTACACTCTGCGAGAGATCAAGCAGTCTGATTTCGCAAGAGAAGAGTTAGAGTGCGATTTTGGAAATTTAGATTCTGTCATTGGACGAGGCAGCTTCTCAACAGTGTTTAGAGGCGTTCTTCATCGCAAAGGATCGCCAGAGATCATGGTGGCTATCAAGATGTACAGTGACTTGCTTACCACTAACAATGTGTGGCATTTTGTTGACGAGGAACGTGCTTTAAGGTATGGATATCAAAAGACCATTTTCTTTCATACAGTTGTGTTCATTTGACAGATCGACTGTAATTCGTGGTGTCCTGCATCAGATTTTGCATGCTGCCTAGAGTCGGAAATACTATAGTTTGCTACACATGCGATTGAAAAACGATTGTGTCCTTGCTGCTTATAAGTTTAATAAGAAATGAGCCTCTTATCTTTGTCTTAGAAAACTGCGCCATCCAAACATTGTGGGTTTTTACGGAACCAATTTGCACCACGGCCCCAACGGCACCAAAGTGATGATCGTCCTCGAGCTTTGCAGTTGTTCTCTCAGATATCGAGTACATACCCATCCCGAGGATTCACCCGCTCGATCGTCGAACGACACAGTCAAGAAGAAAGTGTTATCATGGGCACAACATATCCTAGAGGCTTTGCATTATATCCACTCAGAAGGATTCGTTCACCGAGATTTAAAACTGGAAAATCTACTGGTAAATGTGTATTGAAGTTGAACTTTGATTTCTTAAGTTCTCTGTTCAGTCGTCAGTTACTTTTTTCAAACGACATGTATAGGGCGATTTCCCATCCTCAGGGAAGCGTAGCCTTTTGCACCCTCCCCCGCTCATTTTTTCAAAAATATTCCAGCCTTCAGACGTACTACCTGCCGTACTCTTTACTTGTTTAAGAGTGGATTTGGGGGGGGGGGGGAGGAGGAGGGAGGGGAGGAGGGGCTTTAGGTTTCTTGTGGCTGCACATTATGTCTTGGTGATGAAAATTGTATGCTTTATATAATGGAAATCAACCACCCGTTTCCATGGTATTTTGCGTGAGATCTCAAGCAGAAGATTGCATCTCATGCAGAAAAAATTCTGCAGCTTTATTTTAAATCAATGGCAGACATTTTTGGTTGACAATGATTAACAAGGAGTCTTTACCTTTGTCGCGGTACCCGGTGTTCATTACGATGAAACGCGATCTTGCAATCAACCAAAAAAGCACCAACATGACATTAGCCATTTACAGTTTCTCTTGTTCACTACGATTCTTTGTGAACGAGTTTCAATTTTTTCATTATAGCTGACACACGGCGAGAAAGTGAAACTTGCAGATGTAGGAGTAGCTAAACATGAAAAAGAAATAACAGGTACGATGGTCGGCACCTCTCTGTACCTGGCCCCTGAAGTGTTTGAGGGTCGAATCTACAACAGCAAAGCTGACATGTATAGTTTTGGCTTTGTACTTTGGGAAATATGGTATGGTGAGCAAGCCTTTCAAACAGCGATGACAACCTGCGGAGTGTATCAGCTCGAAAAGATGAGACAGGGCTGTCGACCTGCTCACATCGAAGGCACCAATCATCCATGGGAAATATGGAAGCATGTCATGACTAATTGCTGGAATGAAGATCCACGTGTCAGGCTGACAGCAAAAAAAGCACTGGAAAGTTTTAAGGAGTTGCAGGAGGCTGAGATTCAACCCAAACGGAAACCAGTACCGCTACCGAGATCACGTTCGAGGCCACTTTCACAAAGCAAAACGCCTCCTCCAACAAAACCTAAGCCAGCTAGAAGACCAAATAAGCAAGGTGGAGTGTCTGTTTCTTACTACAAAAAAGTAGAGGCGGAGAGTGTTCACTTTGAATTAAAAGAAAAGAAGTAACGTAGAGGAGACTGAAAAGAACAATCGCTTTATATCTTAGTATTCGTTCGACTGCATTTAATTTAGGAGGAGGAGGTCCCTGAAATCAGGGATGTAACCAAATTTTACTCAAAGCTTCTAACGAGCTCCAGTGTACACTAATCGTGTTTTTTAATGGTAGTTCGTAAACGGCGTGGATTACAGATAGTTCCCAAAGGTAAATTTATTTCTTACTCGGCAACCGTTTCTCGAATTGATTGAAGAGAAGCTACACAATTTTTTTTTATTTCACTATGACACCATGTTGCCTTTTTAGGGCATCGGGACGGTCAAAATATGCCAAAGAATAACTCAATAGATCAGGCCAAAAATACGGCCGGAGAGCGGGGCAAAAATATGGCTTCTGTGAACGATCAAACTTTGATATTTTTTCTCCGTTTTTTTAAGCTCGTCTTCTTAGGAAAATAACTTTTCAGTGCAGCAGATGTTATTTGACTGTGAATACATGAAACTCATAAATGAAATGCAAACTATGTGAACTATATAAACTGTGAAATGCGAAGATCACTTTCATATCTACAGATGTTATCGTTGGTCATGGTTTCGTTTGTGTTGTTTCCGTCTTTCACTCATGCCTTCGGGGCTCGGAAAAAATACAGCGCAGCTCACAAAATATCCGCACCTATTATATTTTAATGATAAAATAAGGTGTATTATCCCTAAGTAAATCAAGTTAGTCTAACTTGCCGTCATCGATCAGTGCAACGTCTTTGACTGTACAAAGAATGAATCATAAACGTGTTATATCTAAGAAATAGTCCGTATACTGCAATACGACTGAAATTAACTCATGATAGGGCGAAAGGGCATCAGAGCCAATGCAGCAAGGAACCCCTGTAGCTAGACTTCGTAGGGAGTCCTGGAATAAAGTTCACAATTCACTGCAATATATCTACTAAAATATCGGTCTTAAATTTTTAGTCATTCGGCTTGGAACAAGAGTATTGAAGGACGAGCCTATTTTAAATGAGTTTTTTTGGTTTGAAGCAGGATTAACTAGTGTTATTGAGTGACATTCACGCTCCAGCTATATCATTACATTAAGCGGCTATAGCGAGCAATGAGTTGCTGAAATCCATTAATAAAACGTTAAAACCAACAATGATGATTTATGTTCATCCCGAACAGAAAATCTCTCTCCCCTCCTGCATCCTGCATTGTCAATGATTTCCTATTACCCATGAAGTGATTCAATTTCTACGTTTAACTGTTTTAATACTTGCAATATCTTTTGTTTCTGCGGGAACCAAGGCTCGATTATTGAAGATGTGGGTCCTAAAGTTTTCCTTGCACTTTTTCAGCACCATTACTAGTCTTTCTTCGCCATCTTTTTTGAGGAGAGATGTACCGTAGAACTTCACAATGTGAGGATGGCCCAACCCCCTGAGAAAGAAATCAACTACATACTGTCAAGTATTACTAAGTCAGATTTTTGTCTCAGTATAAACGCAGTACAGGAATGATCGAATAAAGCAATGAAGTTTAATCATTATTATACTTATCATTATTATTATTATTATTATTAAAATAGTAATAGAAAGATGATTTTAAAGTCAAGAACAAAAAATCGCTCTCAAAGTCCAAGGAGACACATGGGTGAAATAGATGTGGAAAGTCGCATATATTTTACCAAAGAATAGTAATAGTACAACATTCGGGTAAAAGTACGGTTCTAGTAGGTTTTTCCTCAGAACAAAATTTAACTATATTTCTTTTCACAAGAAACACTACCAAATCCTTTTTAATGTTAATTTTTTGCTGTTGTGACAAAGAAAATCTTCCTTTTTCTGATAGCCCACCGCTGACCTTGTGAATTGGGTGTATTCCTGGCCACGCAAAATTAATTCACTGTTAGAATTTACATATAATTTTAAAACTCGTTTTGGGCAGGTTTTTAGCAGTTCCAAGGAGTGGCTGGTATGACTCCTGTATCTCTTTGTATGACCGCGTCTCATGCCTGAGTTGATTATACAACATCTTGTCAGCATGTATTAGCTTTGGAATACGAGCCTCAATATGCTTCAGACACAATTTTGCCTCGCTTAGTTGACTCTTTACGAACACCTTGAGAATGGACTCATTTGTGACATTGTTTAGGTAGTCTACTGACCTCTCAGCCATGAGAGAGCATCTGTCTTTTTCGTACCTCCTAAGTCTCCTTGAATCTTCAACTTTGTTTTTGATCGACATTATGCCGACTATAGGGCTGCCAATCACCAAAGCAATTAGAGAGAGTGGAACCCAGATTGGGCTGGTAAAACCGATAGCAAACTTTGCTGCCATAGAAAAGCTTTCAGCAGAGGGATCAGCTTCTGAAACACTGATTGGGTCATCAGTCGTAACACTTTCTTGCAGATTCCGGATTTGCCCCTCAACAAAATCGTACTGCTCCTGAAAATAATGCAAGAGGGAATCTCGAGCGTCGGTAAACACTCGTTCATCTTCCTCCCAATGTTCTATGATTTCCCGCAACCTTGTTTGCAATGCCTTATTGATATTGTTTTCTGTGACCTGCCACGAGACCTCTATTTCAGGAACCTCATCCAATTTCCATGAGGTGAAACGTGTTCTGACCTCATCTGACTTGAGAAATATGGAGAGCTTCTGAACTGCCTCGTCGATTTTAGCTTTCAGATGTTTTCGGAGGTCTTCTACCACTTTACTTTGTTCGCTTTCAATGGCTGACAGACGGTTATTGATTCTCTCCATTTTCTTAGCGACCTTGTCACGATCTCTTTCGGCATTCATAACAAAGGCCTTTGCTTGATAAACTATCCGTGAAAGGAGGTAATCAAGCCATCTAAAATATGAATAGATATATTCAATAACTGACATGGTTTTTACCTCAAAAATCATTACCGTTTCACGATTCTTGGCTCACTCTTACCACTCACTCTTATGGCACGGAACTAGGGATAAAGATTGGACGTTTGCTTGCTTTCTTCAGAACGGACAAGGACAAAAGGGATCCTTCTTCCGTAGAATGAAGTATCAAAGCATCCAAGCTTTAAAGTATTAATGCATTTCCTATTATTGAGTCTCTAATGTTATCTCCGAAAATCGTTTCTAAAAAGATAACAGTAAAGGGAGAGAAAGAAAGAGAGAGGGGGAAAGATCTAGCAAACAAATTAACCCAAACAACGGAGCGCTCTAAGATTCAGAGGACAAGAAAGTGGTTAATTTGCGCTGTAGAATTTGATAAGAGCTCCTGCAATAAATTTGAGCGTAGCTTATAATTTCTTTTCAATTTAATTTAGCACTCAGTTTCTTGAATTTTTCGGTCATGTCTATTCTGCAGAATTTATGAAAGTGTCTCATGTTTTAAATTAAGGTTAAAAAACCCCCATATACAAATTGTTCAACCTGTTGACTGGTATAGAATTTAAACTACTTTTAATCATTTAACTGTAAAAGCCAGAAAGGCACTCGATGAATTATCTATTAGACAAGTCTCGCTCCAAATTTAGATAGGCTTTTTTGTCCTCATTTTTACTTTACATCCTATTAGCAACCATTGCAGATGTTTTGTTGTTCTAACCACAATTTATTTAGAAGTAAGCCAAGAGAAAAGCTCAGTGGGAAAATATATAAAAAATTGTTTATATCTAATGACCCGTGCATCCCATACCAAGACCAGATTTCAAAACGCCTCTCCTTCAACGCGGTACAAAACCCCAGTATGAAGGATACAGGCCTATCAAAAGTTGGGAAAGGTTTAGTCGATAGGTAAATTTATGGTGATGCTGATTTCTGAATTGTCTTAGGGAATGAGTTGGGGCATTTATCACAATCATTTCGCCCAATGATAAATTTTTCAGTCAATTCTTACCTCCAATAACTTTCCAGTCTGGCCTCTATGCTCTTCATGACCGTGGATCTTATACCATTCATCAAGGAGAGGAAGTCACTCGTAATGATTCCCAATTTCTGTGCGTCAATCGCCTTTTTTGCTGACATGTAGATGATCTGTGACTCTGGAACAAGACCGGGCCAACACTTTTCCAATTTCCTGATTACGTATTTCTCTACTTCTTCGATCTCTTTCTTTGGTATTTGGTCCCACTTGTTACACACGAACAGTGCGCTCTTCGATGAAAATTCTCCCTTTTCATTAAGTGTCACTTTTCTCACTTCTTTAAGCAACTTTTCGAGCTGAAAAATAAATAAGAGTTTAATCTTATTCAGTATCAATGTAATGGTTTGAAAGCTTCTAAAGGACATTGGGCAAGCTCTGACTTATCAAAGCCCTTTCAACGGGGTTCCTCACGGTTTACTAAATTGTTGCCATTTGGGAATGGTGGTTATTCTTAACACTGACCCTGTCTTTCTAGACTCCTCCGGCGTTGTCAGTTTTGATGACATAAACAAATGCGAAAGCTTCAGGTAAATACTTCACGACCTCTTCATCCATGAGTTCGGATTCTCTAATTCCAGGACTGTCGACAATAACAATGCCATTCTGAAAGGACAAATCAAATGAAGGTTTTATCATTATTGTAATTTTTATTATTTGACTCTTTGACCACTATGGCGTTCTGACAACGTTAAGGCTGTGATCCTTAATCTGGTTATAAGAAGTACAACCCTGTCTTTAAAAAAGAGTGGCTTCGATAATGTATAATTTCTAAGAAAGTTAATGCTCTTTTCATATGAATTTGAGTATCCTCAGTTTAACCATCGACTAACCTTATTCGAGGTATATAATACAAAATCTGGTTCTTAGTTTTGATTAATGGAAAATTCTATAATTCAATCCTTAGGAAAAGGATTTTCATTGTTCTCTTCCCTTGGGTTAAACCAGTCGATGAGCAAGGACACATGCTTTTAAAAATTTAGCACTGAATTTATCTATTGTGAGCTATGAGTCATGTTCTAAGCATTTGCTGTGCGATTATTTGTCCACTATGCATAACAAATGATTTTAGTCCCACACCATTTTAGATACTAAAATTCTGTTTGCCGTTTTGATTGACCTTCTGATCCTAATCTTATCCATCTAAACTAAAAAAATAGGTATTGAAAATAATTATTCTATTTCTTAGTTAATTGGAAAACTCGAAATAAACACTGCTACCTGCAAGAGTTGATGAGTTCTTCAAGTTCTGGTTAAGTCAGTCGATGGGCAAGGACACATGTTTTTCAAAACTTAGCATTGTATTCGTCTATTATGAATCATAAGCGAAGCATTTGTTGCGATATTATTTGTCCATCAAGCATAACAAATTATTTTAGTCTAAAATTCTGTTTGTCCTTTGATTGACCTTCTGATCTTAATCTTGTCCATCTAAACTAAAAATGGGAATTGAAAATATTTATCCCATCTCTTAGTCAATTTGCAAAGTTTGAATGAACACTGTGTAACTACCTGCAGGAGTCGATGAGGCCAGAAGAGTTCGATCTTTTTATAAACGGAACCTTTTTCTCGATCTGTATCCTTCATGTGGACAAATGGAGAGAGCTGCTGGAGATAACTTTCATCAGAAGCTTCTGTTGGTTGCTCCAGGAAATATTCCCAAGTTTCATGCCCTGTTTTAGGATCCTTGTCTTTGAAATGGGCCACTATTTTACGCTTCTCCCCATATCGCAATTCACAAATTGTGGAAGTTGTACTGAGTACTGAGTACGGAAGAAGTTCTTCTCCCAGAATTAGATTTATTAAGCTGCTCTTCCCAGAGCCAGTCTCGCCTGGAATGCAGTGATATCAAAAATAATTATTACGTTGTACTATCTTCCAACTAACCGAGCGTAGGTGCTCTACTGAAAAACATTGGCCCTCGATTTTGGCAAACGAACCGAGCGCTGCTGGTTTGTATAAAAACAACAAAGGGCCAAAATTCCTCAGCAAGTCTCAAACAGTAAATGGTAAGTAGTATGAATTATGGCACGCGAGCCATGTTTGTTTACTTTTCTTTTTTTAAGACACTTCCGATAAATTGAATCCAATGAGATTCTGTCGTAACGTGTGTTTGTGGTTTCTTTGCAAAGAATGCGGGTATTTAAATGTAATTAATGTTGTTTTTGTTTTTTCTTTCTCTCTTTCTTTCTTTTATTTTTTTGGCAGTTTCAGGCGCAAAGTTTAATCCCAACCAAGTAAGAACCATTCAGAACCCCCGAATTTTCAAATTGTCTGATCGGGTGTTCACCAGCCGATCCAAAATAATAAAGAAGGAAAATATGTCATTATATAGTAGTATCACCATATGACGGTCATTTACTTGCTACTAGAAGGATATATTCTTTCCTCTTTATATCTATTTGATGTTTACGTATCAGCTCATCAAGGTTGCCTATTTGGCGCATTCAGCATAAAGACCATATAAGATTTTCTTCTTTCTTATGTCGTGATCTTTTGCTTCTGACAGAATAGAGAATGCCTAGAGAGGAAAAAAGTTATGTTTAAAAATAGCACTGGATTAAGCTGA